CTGCTAAATGACAGTAGGACCGAAATTTAGAAAACTAAAGGTACAAATGCATATACTGGAAAGGAGGAAAAATATCAAGTTAAGAATTTAGGCATTCATCTCAAGGACCTAGAAAAAGAACAAAATAAACAGAAATCTCAAAGCAAAGAGAAAAAGGAAATAATGCGGATAAAAATAGAAAACAATGAAAATGAAGACAGAAAGGAATTAATAAAACAAAGAGCTGGTTCTTTGAAAAGACCAATAAAATCCACAAGAATCTTCACCCAGAACATGGACAAAGAAAAAAAAGAAAGAAAGAAATAGTGAATCAACAATGCTGGGAATAAAATAGGGAATATCATTATAGGCTACAGAGATTAAAAAAAAAAAAAGTAAAGATAGTAGGGGAATATTAGAAACAGCCTTAAACAAATAAATTTGACAATTTAGGAGAAATGGCTCACCTCCTTGAAAATTACCAACTATTATAACTCACCAATATGAAGTAGAAGCCAGGTATGTTGATGGCACATACCTGTAATCCCAACACTCTGAGAGGCTGAGGCAGGAAAATCACAAGTTTGAGCCCAGTACGGGCAACTTGGCAACTTAGCAAGACCCTGTTTCAGAATTTGCTAAGGTCTTGAGTTCAATCCCCGGTACTGAAAAAAATTTGTTAGAACAGCAGTATAACTATTAAGATATTGAATTTATAATATTTTTTAAATTCCCATGCTGTAAATTTCCAGGTCAGATGGTTTCAGTGGAAAAGTCTAGCAAATATTTTAAAAAGAATTAGAGGTAGTTTTACACAATGTCTTCCAGAAAATGAAAGAAGAAAAAAACCTTCCAAATTCATTTTATGAAGCTTGTATTATCCTGATATCAAAAGCATACCAAGACAGTAAATATTAAATAATCCTTAACAAAATATTAGCAAACATAATTCTGTAATACTTTAAGAAGTAATACACTATGACCAAGTGGGATTTATTCCAGGGATGCAAGTGTGGTTAAATTTTTGACAGCCAATGTAATCTATGGTGGGGATGGGGATTTAGCTCAGCGGCAAAGTGTCTCCCTGGCAAGCGCAAGGTTGGGAGTTCGATTCCTGGTACTGGAAGAAAAACAAAAACAAACAAACAAAAACAATGTAATCTATGGTATTAATAAGCTAAAGAAAAAAAAGCACATGATTATATCATTTGATGCAGAAGAAATACTGGATAAAATTCAATACCTATTCATGACAAAAACTCTCAGAAAATAGAAATAGAAAGGAACTTCCTCAATTTGATACAGAACATTTATTTAAAAAACTACAACTCTCATATTTAGTGGTTAAAACTTAAAGCTTGCTCCCCAACACGGTGAACAAGGCAAGGATATCCACTCTTACCATTCTTATTCAACAGACCCTTAAAAATTCAACATACCCTTAAAAATGCTCAAACTTGTGATCTTCTTGCCTCAGCCTCTCAGAGTATTGGAATTACAGGTATGAATGGATATCCTTGCCTTGTTCACCTTGTTGGGGAGCAACATGGCAGCATAATGAGGCAAGAAAGGGAGCTAAAAGGAATATAGATTGGAAGAAAAGAAATAAAACTGTCTTCATTCCTGGATTATATTATTATATATGTAGAAAATCTCAGTGAATCTATAACACATCTCCCAGAACTAATACATGAGTTCTGCAAGGTTACAGGATACTGAATGTACAAAAATCAGTTGTGTTTTCATATACTAGCAATATTCATCAAAATAAAAAATAGAATACCATTTACAACTTCTCAAAAAACTGAAACATTTCTAGGCCCTGAATTCAAACTCCAGCACATGTAATTAAATAAAGAAATGAAAAGACATACCATACTCACAAATTGAAAGACTCCACACAGTAAAGATTTCAATTCTCTTCAAATAAATATACAAGATTGACCTGATTACTACTAAAATTCTAGCCAGGCATGGTGGCATATGCATGTAATTCCAACACTCAGGAGGCTGAGGCAGGAGGATCCTTTCAAGTTCGAGACCAGCCTGGACTATAAAGTGAGCTTAAGGCTAGTCTGCACTGCATAGTGAGACCCTGTCTCAAAAAAGACAAAAAAATAAATAAATAAACAAACAAATAAATAAATAAACTACTAAAATTCCAGATATTATTCAAATTTAGATCTATTATATATTCAAATTTAGATCTATTATCAGATAACTCGAGAGTGGAAGTGGTCTTATGCCTGGGCTACACAATGAGTTCAGGACCAGCCTGAACTGGGTGATGAAAGTCTGCCTCAAAAAGTCAAAAAAAAAAAAAAAAAAAAAGAGAGAGAGAGAGATCATGGGAAATCTCAAAAGGGTGATACCAATAATCCCAAGCCTCCATTTATCCTCTAGGGAAGTATGCAAAATTAACGGTTGTGATTTTGTGGTCCCCAAAATAAAGTTTATATGGGGAGCCAAAGGAACGAGAAAAACCAAGACAATTTAAAACACAAAGCTAGAAGTCTTACACCACTAGGTATCAAGATGCACTTAAAGCTAAGTAACTAAGGTAGTGTCCATGCAAAGACATGAAAGAAGACCAGACACGGACCCATACATACAGACAGTTGAACTTTGATAAATGTGGTAATACAGAGAAGCAGGACAAGGACACTATTTTAAATAATGGCTCTAGATAAAATGGATATTTATATGGGAAAAATATATTAATCTTGACCCTTATACTATATAGTATACAAAAATCTATTCCTGGTCTATTATAGATCTAAATTTGAAATATAAAAATAATACAGAGAATATCTTTATAAACTTGGGTGAGTAAAGATCTCTTAAACAGGACACAAAACCCACTATTAAGAATATAATTGAGGGGCTGGGGATTTAGCTCAGGGGCAAAGCATCTGCCTGGCAAGCGCAAGGCCGTGAGTTCAGTTCCCGGTACCGGAGAAAAACCAAAACCAAGAAAAAAAAAAAAAAAAGAATATGATTAGTCAATTGGGCAATATTGAAATCAGAATGTTATCTTTCTCAAAAAAATTGCTTTAGAGATAGAAGAGCAAGCCACAGATGGGAGAATACGATTGTAACACATAGCTAAGAATTTCTCTGATCATCTATAGGACTAAGGGAGATATTGTATTTGAAGGGGTTAGCACCATGCTTGGCACATAGAAGTGTGTCATAAGGTTTTATATTCCTCCTTTTATAACTGAGGCATTGATCGAAGCAAAGGAATGCCTCACACCATTCTCAGGCAGACAGATCTCACTCCTGTTTCTGAGTTCTACAAACAAGGAAATCTAATGGTTTCCCCAGATCTTCTACAAACTGGAAGACATTTCTGAAGGCATCTCATTCCCTTTCCACACCAGTCTGTGTGCAGATACTTCATTCAGCTCTAAATCCAATGGAAGCCTTGAAAGGTAGCATGGGGAGGGTGAGCGTGGGTTTGCATCTCAGCTGTCTCAGCATGGTGGAAAATCCCCAGTGCTGAAACCCACGAGGAAGGGTTGGTCGTGGGGAAGAAAGCCTCTCATCTTTCAAACACAATATTATGTTATCTTAGTCACCAGAATGCTCAGAAGCATGCACAAGGGGATTTCCAAAATGATTTCTAAAGGGTCACATGAGTCCTGCAGATACAGGCCCAGGAAAAGTAAGACCACAGACAAGGATCTTCCCAACCCATGTGGCTGAAGAAGTATTTGGAAGAAGGTCAAGTTCAGAGGGCTCCTCCTTGGGCTACCATCATGGTTTAAATCCCCTTCCAGCGGGAAGGGGCAGAACTTTAAAAGGGCTTAAGTTTGCCTCCAACTCCCCATCTTTCCCTGCTTGCTTCCCAGGAGTTAGCCCATCTAGAAGCCTCAAGCCACTGATAAAAAGGAAGAGGTGCTGAGAACAAAGACTCAAGTAAATCCACCTCAGTTGGTTTTAAAGACCAGCACCCTCATTCTTAGGATGGCATCGAGTGCCTTCCGAGAAGTTACAGTGCCATTTACACCCCTCATGGCCTCTGATCCCATCTCAGCACTATGGTCCAAGGGTTATCCTTATCCCCATTTGACAGGCATCCATGTTGAGCTTCAGAGAAATAAAGTGACTTACTCAAGGTAGTTCTGAACTAAGGGCCCACCCTACTATGTAGTCTTACCTCTGTCGGAGATAAGTTACCAGTAACAATGATTATTATTATCTTTTTTAGCATCTCTTGTGTGCCAAACTTATGACTAGGTGTCTTACACCTATTAACTCACTTGTTCTTCAGAACAAACCTAGAAGTAGATGAGGGGGCCCCATATTATAGGGCCAGATAAGGTGGCCTTTGGTGTCAGGCACTATTCTAAACCCTTGAATGTGTATTAACTCACTTCACTATTTCTAGTAGAGAATAACTGGGAGTATAATCTCCATTTCAGACGTATGGGAACTGAGACTCAGAGATACTGGATAAGTTGGCTGAGGCTACTCAGCTAGGAAGTAGCAGAAAGTAGAGCTGAACCCAGAGGTTCGCACCTCTGGCAGCACAGAGGTGATATCTTCCAAAGTGACACATCTGGGAGGTGTCAGAACCTGCTTGGAATCTCTACCTAACTGAAAACCTAGAATCTTCCCAGTCAGCTAACCCATCAAGTGAGGCCGGAGGAACACTCTGGCCCTTGTGGTGGTCTCCTCTAAGAAACAATTCCCTGAGGATTGATCCCCAGGGGAACCCCTCTATGCCCATATCAGGCTGGGTGTGGCTGAAGAGGCGGGGACCTGGCATGAGCAGCATCCTTAACCAGACTTCCGCTCTGCCTGCTGACAGCTGACCAAATCAGACAGCCAATCTTCCCTCCCTTGGTCCCCACTGGAAGTGCTGCACTGGAAGTAGAGGAGGAGCTTGGAGGGACAGAGAAAGTCCTCAGCAGGGACTTCCAGGAGAGGGAAAGAGGAGCTGGGTGTGTGTGGGGGGGTGAAGGGTGCTGGGGAGTGGTTCTGGCGTTGTGAGGAAGGGGTAACCTAGCAACCACTGGGCTCAGTGCAGTCACAAAGCAGCAGACTAGCCCACAGCACCAAGGAGATTGCCCCTTGGTGAGTCCTCTCTCACCTTCTTGCTCAGGCAAGAGGCTTCCTACTCACATGCTGTAGCGGGCACCTTCCTCGGTGAGTCCAGGACCTTTCCAGGGAGGAAATGGCCCCTGTAACCTGACCAGGACCCTGGGGAGGGCCCTGAAGGCCAAGGGTGAAGGGCAAGTCCTGTGCTGAATCAGTGGCAGCCTTCAGATTCCTTAGATCTGTCTGAGGGCCCAGGGACAGAGGGCAGAGCAGAGGTGGCCCCAGTGGTCCCACCTGTCTCACTCTGGAGAGTCAGTCCTGACCTGCTAGGTCCCTGCTAACCTCTCTCCAGCATGCAGATCACGACTCCTGAGTGACTTATTGCAGCAATTTGATGGGTAACATCTAACATTTGCAAAATGGAAACAAAACCTGGGATACATGCATCCGTGCACATCACATGTAGTATGGCAAATACTGCTCCAGGGCACTCTGGTTTCAGTGTTATATGCACACATACATATGTGGATTGGGTCCTGATAGAAAAATGAATTTCTTAATGTCATCATAGTTGAAAGCATTTGAAAGTCTATTCTACAAGTGTCTTTTCCTATAGATGGGTGGATTTGGAGCTTCCAAATGCTCTGTGTGCTCTAGAGTCCAGCCCATCACTGAGGGTGCCAAAGCTGCCTGAAAAGGAATCTCTGCCCATTGTTGTTAGAGAAAAGATCAGGGGCCTTGAGCCAGGTGCCCAGGCCCCGGGCCCTGGTCGTGTGGCCTCTGCAAATTTCTCCCCTTGTTTGACCTCAGAGAAGGCCAGTCCCACACATGCCATCCTTATAAGGACTGACTCAGGTATTTCTGGGGTCCCCGAGGGTTAATTCTCAGAATGCATTGATTGCTTTTCCCAAATCCTCCCTAGCAACACATGCATATATTGGACAGATATTTTATATATATTTACTAGGTCCATAGACTTATATTAATCATAATTCCTGTTTTAACATCTGCCTTCCTTCATCCATTTCACTTAGTTTATTTAATAGTATAGTCAACACCAGTAAGTGCACCGCCCCCACCAGCAACTGAAATCTCTCCACTGACGCATCTCCCGTGTGCTCTTTGCGTTCCTTGTCCCTGCCTTTCGTCCATCCAGAAATAGTCACAATTTTTGCTGTATTGTTCAATCACACATCTATATCACTTTGCTTGCCTTTGAACTTTCCTAATTTTAAAAGACATTTCATGCTGTGTAGTTGGAAACATGCTTTCCTTGACTTAGTTGTATATTTGTAAGGTCCACCCATGCTATTGCATATACTGTATTTTCATAGCAATAGCATGCCCCTTCACCTGGATGTAGCACAGCTTGTTTATTCATTGTTCTGCCATTAGACATTTGGGTTGTCACCAGGGTTTTGCTATTTTGGGCAATATTAACAGAAATGCTCTTGTTGATGGCCCCTGTCACACATCTACATGAGTTTCTCTATATGTGAGACAGAAATTGTTGGGTGAAAAAGCAGGTAAGTGTTCAGTTCTTTTTTTTTTTTTTCTTTTTTTTGTGGGGTGTACCAGGAATCAAACTCACAACTTTGTGCTTTCTAGGCAGGTGTTGTGGCGCTGAGCTATATCCCCAGCCGAAGTGTTCAGTTTTATGAGCTATTGTGCTATTGTCCCTTTCTCTCCCAAAGAACCTGCCCCTGGTTATACTTCCACAGCCAGTCCATGGGAGTTCCTGCTACTCATCCTGAGCTCTAAGACACTGGTCTTTATTCCATTAGAAACACTACAATGGCAGCGGAGGTGAGGACTCAGTTGGCAGAACATCCACTGACAAGGTAAGACCCTAAATGTCCACCTGCTGGCCAAAGGTGTGGGGAAAAGGACAGGACAGAAGACAGAGGCAGCATAGAGGAGCTCAGTGGCCTGGAGGTCCCAGAGAAAGAGCCCTTCTTCACCATCCTCTGTCACCAGCCAGGCCCCCAGTGGGTCCTCAGGTAAGTTAGCAGAGGCTGTGGGCAGGGACCCTCCCTGGGTAGGAGAAGACACAAGTCAGGGCAGGAACACAGAGCACAGGCATTCCGGGGATGGGGGGATGATTTAGGAGGTGATGTCTTCTGTTACTTAGGGGTAGAAGAGGTAGCTAACTTGGCTTCCAAAGGTGGTTTACAGTTTTTCTTTAAGTCCCAGATTCCCTAGAGGACAATGGAGTCTGGAACAGGAAATGCAGAGGCCGGGTCAACGAAATCCTCACAGGGTCCAAGGGCAGCATCTTGGCTTAGCATATCCAGAGCCCACTTATTCTCCTCCAGAGGGACCCCCTTCAGCCAGAACAGCAGGAGAAGGAAATGCAGACAGCCACCAGGCGGGTGTCTGCACCAGGCCCCAGCAGGAGTGGCCTGACCTTCGGATCCTTGCTGGGCTGACCTCTACTCTCCCTCCAGGAGCAGAGGCTCTGCATCTTCAGGACAGGGTGGGGAACAGGGAACCTGACCTGCTGGGCCCCAGAGAAGCCCAGCTAGCGTGTGATGCTTCCCCACAGCGTCATTGCTTTGACAGTTCTGCGTCTCCTGGGAGGGACCCTATGGGAAAAGGATGGCCTGCCTGGTCTTGCATTGGCTCTGGTTCTGGTGCAGGACCACCCTGAATGGGGAGGGTGACAGCTGGCTCCTTTGGGCTGCCAACAGCAGGGCTTAGGGACAGGACTTGCTGGGCCAGCCCCTGCCCCTAAGAGGTACATATAAGGAGGCTTTGTTCCACCCTAGGTGTATGGAGGACAAGGTGGGTGTGAGGCTTCTCTTTCTAGTTCCAGATTTGTTCTCTGGGAGAAAACTGGGTTCTCGGAGATTCCATCTGAGCCCTCACAGATGGACTGGAGAGCCTAAGAAGGCATCTGAGGAAGGCACGGGCTTTCTGGGACCAGAGGGTGCCACTGGGAAAAGGACGCTGGGGGAGCTGAGTTTTGGGTGCCATGGTGCAGGAAGGGGTGAAATCCAGGAAGGTTTCTGAGTCTCTGAGAACGGGCTCTGTGATAAGCACCCAGCTCAGAGCTGGGCTTGGGCACTGCTGCCAGACAGAATCTCTGATCACTTCCCTGTAAATCTTCTCCTTCAGTCCCAGGGCCGAGCTGAAACCTGAGAAGAAGTCAGGGCACAGGCCACAGAGCCACGGAGACGGTGGACCACAGAAAGAACCAGTGACCCCAGGCATTGTGGATTTGGAGCTGAACCAAGAAGTGCTGAGGACCCTTAAACCCCGAACTGCCGGCTCCTACCGCTTCGGCCGTCTCAGCCACCACTCCTTCTTCTCCAGGCACCACCCTCACCCCCAACATGTGACCCACATCCAAGGTAGGGCCAGGCCTGCTTGGGCCTGGTTGGGTGGGACAGGTCTGGCAGGGTGATCACTAATTGACCCTGAGAATTGGAAATGCTGTGTTCCCTCCAGCCATGTCCAGGCAGAGGCCCAGAGAGCATGAGGTCTAACCAGCGTCCCAGGGCTGCCTAGTGGGCAACCCAGGTCTGACACGGAGGCAGGAGTAAAGCCCAGGCTCCAAGGGTGGGTCAGGATCCCCTACATGATTTTCCTCTCTGCCCCAGAACTGAGTTGTGCTTTCTAACTCAGGCCATTTCATCCACTCAGCTTTTCATCCACCCATCCACCCATTCAACCATCCATCCATCCATTGCCAGTATTTACTGAGTGCAAACTAGAGGGTGGCACTTTCTAAGTCTTGGGGACACAACAAAGAAGAACAGGACACTGTTGCTGCTGTCCTGGAGCTGACATCTGGTGCAAAGTGTGGGAAATAGACCAGGTATCAAGTGCAAAGGCCACAAAGGGGAGATTGCTGCTTTCAGAAGGTGACCATGAGGGCTGGGGATGTGGCTCAGTGGAACATTTTCCTAGCACACACAAGCCCCTGCATTCAATCCTTGACACCACAAAAAAAAAAAAAAAAAAAAAGTGACCATGAAGGACCTAGGCACTAACAGAACATTTGAGCAAAACATTAAACAAAGTGAGTGTGTGAACTACATACAAATCAGGGCTAATAATGCCCCAGGCACATGGATCAGCAAATACAGAGCCCCTGAGCAAGATCACTCCAGCCCTGCTGGAGAAATAGCAAGGAAGTTCAAGGTATGGCTGGACCAGAGGAGGGTGCGAAAGGAAGGAGATGATGTCAGGGAGGCAATGGGGCCAGATCAGCCAGGACGCGCAGGCCACCAGTGTCACCATTAAGTTGCCTCACAAAGTCAGGTGGAGCCATCGGAGGCTGAGAACACAAGAGTGAGATAATTTTAGCAAGGTTACCCCGGCCTGGCTTGGGCCGTCAAGCATGGAAAAGTGCATAGACCTTTCCCAGGGGGTAGTTAGGAGGCAGAGCCAACAGGGTTTGATGATTGAAAGTGGAGTGTGAGAAAGAGAGGACTCAAGACTCCCTCTGGGGTTCTCAGCCTGGGCAACTGGAGAACCCCAGGGACCCCAAGATGGAAAGGTTAAGATGACTGGAAAAAAATCCTTTCTTGGCCCATTTCTCAGTGCCCTGTGGATGAGGTGATGGTGGGTCTCACTGATCACAGGGCCTCTCGGCTCTGATGATTGATGGGTGGGTTGGTGGTCACCTGCCCCGCAGCCTCTTTCTGGCCTCCTGGACCTCCTGAGGTCCAGACAGGCCCCCCTCCCAAGCCTCTAACCTTCACAGATCTCACTGGGAAGCCTGTCTGTGTCGTCAGGGACGAGTTCTCTCTGACCGCCCTGCCTCAGTTCACACCTTTACCCCGCTGTCTGATGGGGATGCCCATAGTCTCTGTCCCTATTGGGGACCCGCAGTCCAATCGGAACCCCCAACTGCCTTCCCGTGAGTATTTGGGCCACTCTTCCTGAGCGCTCACACCTGTCCCCAAGGGCTGCCCTCCTTGGGTGGATGCCTGAGAAGAAAAGGGGCCTTTCCTCTTATGTGGGTGGGGCCCATAGAATGACCCCACTTTTCCCCTCGTTTCCTTGGGCAGCCTCACCTCTGCATTCCTACCTCATCCCAGGTCCTAGGCTCAGAAACACACCCGTGCATAGATCTGACATGTTGAGGAGGCAGGAAGGCCTAGAAGAATGGGGGGGTGGTCCTTCCATGTGGTACTGTACCTTCCCTGCCCTCCCAGCCCTGGTGTTCCAGGGAGGAGGAACAGAGCCCCAGGATCTTGTCCCCTCCTCCCAGAGGCCTGGAAGAGGGAGCTGAAGGAGCTGGCTTCCCGAGTGGCTGTCTTCACCAAGGAGACAGAGCTGAAGAACAAAGAGGTGGGTGCAGAGCCAGAAAGGAGTCTGGGAATTAAAGAAACCAACTCAGCCCTCTGTAAGGAAGCTCCTCAAGGCTCTGCTGTTGGCGCTGGGAGGAGGGTGTCAGTGAGGGTGACAGGAGGGTGAAAACAGGAAACCCGAGGTGGGTTCCTAGCAGAGGTGGCCTTGGGGACATGGACACATCATGAGATACATAATGGGACAGGGGTGGGTGGGGGTGACCTTGTAGTTACTGTTTGGTAGTAAATTAGCAAAGATAATCAACAGGCAGGTGGAAGGTTATCTTAAGACAGGCCTGGCCCTTGTGGCTGAGGCTGCTTCTGTCCCTCATTTTGGGCAGCCAGAGGGGAAAAGCAGAAACCCAGCCTCTGTCGCTGCTCTCAGCTAACTTAGCGTGGCACTCAGGGTAGCAGCTACGCTGCCTGGGTCTCGGTTTCTTATCTTTAAAGAGGGGAGAAGGAGGCTATAAGGCTTAAGTGGAATTGCAACAACAGGAGGCCCCAGAGGCCAGGGCAAAGGAAGGCTGCCAGGCTGTGAGGGATGGACCTGGGAGGCAGCCAGGCTGGGAGTGAAGGTAGGCAGTGGGGCTTTGGCCGGGATGCTGCTTTCAGATCTCTGATGGGCTGGGCAGGGGTAGCAGGCAGGATCTGCACGGGTGGAAGAACAAGGTCCACCAGGGCATTCATTGTTCAGCTATAGATGTTGAGTTCAGGGAAGAAGAGCTCTTGCTAGTTGAAGCTCCTCTAGTGGAAGGCTTCGATCCAGAAGAGGGTGGTGGTGGCCTGGGTGACAGCCTGTGCCCCTGGCATTGCTGTGATACTGGACTGGGGGAGGTGGAGCCCTGGAGATGTGCCTTGGCCTCCTTGTCATCATTTCCCCTCTGACTTCTCCTTCCCTCTCACTGGCTCTTGGAGTCTCAGGAGAAGGAGGAGCCTCAAAGGGACCAAGGAGCAAAGTACTCCGCTGAAACGGGAAGGCTCATCCCCACCTCCATCCGAGCTCTCAGTAGCCGCAAGTTCCGCCAGGGCCACCGGAGCCACCCTTCCAGCAGAGATGGAGGAGCCCCGGCTTCCCTCTTGCAGGACCAGGAGCTGCTGGTGAGCCCTGCTCTGGGGGCAGAGGTTGTAACAGTCCCTCCTCCCAGCTCTCCTAACTAACACCCTTCCAGGCTGCTTTTGGACATGGTTTCTCCTGGGGACACTGCTCCCTCACAGTTGTGCGGTCTGTAAGTTGGGAAACCCCTGTACTGGGCATCAGCAGCCCAGGTTCTGATCCTTGCCTCTAGGAGCCTGTGCCAGCCTGGCCCTTTCTGTGTGAGTCCTCTCCCCTTACGGGCCTTAGTTTCATGGTCTATGCAACTGGGAGCTGAGCACATTGTCATCAAAGGTCCATCCCATTGGCAGCACCTGATGAGTCACAAAGGGAGCTGCAAAGTGGATTGAGAAGGTGAAGGTCCCACTCAGTGCACTCTAAAGCCACACCCCAGGAGGTCACACTCCAAAACCTGTGGGACTAGTCCCAGCCTGGTCTCCCACCCTGGGAGGAATTCAGTCTGTGTTCCAGCAGAACCCAGAGCCCATCTGCCCTGTGTTCAAGTTTGCCCATCAAGGGGGCTAGGGATTTAGCTCAGTGGCACAGCGCCTACCTGGCAAACGTAAGGTCATGAGTTCGATTTCAGGTACCATCAAGGCCCAAGATGAGTCTGGTGGGTTAGGACATTAGGTCACTGTTAAAATGCATGTGTACCCTCCAGGAAAGGGCAGACATGCACCCCGCACTTTTAGGAACCCCTTCCTTCAGGCCAGCAATGTCTTTGGAGCCTGGTCAGGGTCCGGCCAAGCGGTCTGAGGGTCCAGGGCCCAGAATCCCCATCCCACTGATGGGGAGGCTGAGGCCCTACCAGGTGGTATTCTGTGACCCAGTCCCCAGCTAAGAAGCAGCATAGCTGGACTAGAACCAGTACTCTTTCCACCTTAGGGCGTCCTCAACGTGTCTGGAATCAGGTTCTCAGGCCCTGTGGGGAGGGGGCGTAGGGCAGGTAAGTTGGATGCAGAGGATGGATCAGGGCACTGGGACAGATGCAGGAGTCACTGGAGCATGTGGATCCTGGGGGGGCGGGAAGGGCAGGCACCAACCTGGGGAAAGGCTTGGTCTGGTTCCCACTCTGCCAAGGAGCAGGCTCACCTGTTGGGTCTGACAGGCCCTATGGGTCCCAAAAAGACCGACTATCAAATGCTGAGGGAACCCCACTTTCCTAGGGCTCCAGGAGCCCCACCTCCCACCATGGGCCCCAACTCCAACCTGCCGCAGCCCCAGCCACCATCAGAAACCTGGCCTAGGAAGCCCCTCTAGCACATCTCAGACAGGATCTTCTCCTGATGCTATTTGACGGGAGAACACAGGGGAAGTGAACCCCGAAGTGGCAAGGACAGCGAGGGCTGAGGACACGTGCAGAAGCCCAGCGTGCTCGCTGCTCAGCAGGAGGGAGCCCCACACGGGGCAGCTGGCAAAACCAGCCCACCCTGACCCACGGGCTGCCCTCCTCCTCCTCTCTGCTCACATCTCCAGACTCTGGGAGCTCCAGGGTGGGGAGGCTTATAAGGTACCCGAAATCCCCACACAAGGGGCCCAGGTATGTGGGACTTGGTGTGTCTCTGAGGAATGACTGGCCAGCGCTGACTTTGCCTTCCCAGGGAGGGACCCTAGGGCAGGCCAGCCCAAAGAGGTTCCAAGGGTTAGGCCTCCACATGTCTGATGCTGAGGCTTAATTCTGCCACACAGTCCCTGTTAAGTGTCTTCATCTTGAAAAGTCTTGGATTCTTTGTCTGTCCAGAGGGGAGGTTAAGAATCTTCTTCCAGCTGGGTATAGTAGCCTATGTCTCTAATGCCAGCATTACGGGTGGCTGAGGCAGGAGCATCATAAGTTTGAGCCTAGCCCAGGCAATTTTGCAACTTAGGAGACCCTGTTTTAAAATTTAAAAAAAAAAGAGGTTGAGGGTGTAGCTCAGTGCAAAGACCCTAGCTTCAATCCCCAGTACTCCCTCCAAATCTTCTTGCAAGGGCTGATGGTGTAGCTCAGTGGTAGAGTGAATGCCTAGCATGTGTGAGGCTCTGGGTTCCATCTCCCTCATTTAAAATGGGGAGAGAAAGACAGACAGAGAGAGAAGAGGAGGAGGAAAAAGGAAGAAGGAGAAAAGGAAGGAAAGAAAAGGGGAGGGAGGGAAAAAGAAAGAAAGGGAGAAAGAAAGAATGAAAGGGTATTCCTTGGGTCTTTTATAAGAGAAAGCCCTCTGTAAATTGCAGGGTCCCATGAGAGTGGGGGCAGGGACCTTTGTGGGAACCAGAGCATGTGGCTCCCTAGCCCACTTCAGGGGGAGGGGCCCCTTGGTTCCCCCTAACCCACATTTGCTGGGTGGAATGTGTGTGGAGTCTCACCCAGCCCATTCTCCTGCCCACAGATCCTGGAGCTCCTCTGCCAGATTCTGCAGACGGATTCACTGAGTGCCATCCAGTTCTGGCTACTCTATGCACCCCCTCAGGGTGAGGACGTGTGAGCATGGCCCCCTCTCTGTATGGAGACTATCAGGATTCCCCCGCATCAATTCTCTGGTTCTGCTGGACTCCGATGGCACTCCGCTCCCAACCCTAGGGCCATCCAGGTCCTCCTATTTGGAGCCCCAAAGAAACACTTCCCAGCTGGACAATGTCCTGCTTCATCTTTCCCCAGGCCCCAGCAGGATTTCTGCAGGTCTGCTCCTTGGAGGGGTCTCCAACTTCAAGCTGACACCCAGTATTAGGCACCAGAGTGGAGGAACTTTAAGGATCAAACTTAGCAGACACAGTTCCTCACATGCTACTGTGGGAAAGGCATACACAGGTGGAGATACACGAACACACACATATATGCACAAGGACAGACAAAAACACACACGGAAACACAGTGGAGGCTATGTCCCAATGGAAGGGTGAGGGTGATGAGAGCCAGGAGGAGGAGCAGGAGGAGAAAGAGGAGGGTGGCCCCAGTGTGGGGGGCTGCATGGGGCTGAGAACAAGGTGAACTTGGTGGTGTGGTAGGAGAGGAGGGCGGAAACATTGGGCACTTGGTGGGCACAGGGGCCAGGAGAGATGCAGGGCAGAATGTGGGAGTTTAGAGTGCCTGTGCCTAGAAAGGGACCGGCCTGAGCCTGTGACCTGGGGCTGTGCTTCCAGAGAAAGACCTCGCTCTAGGACTCCTGCAGACAGCGGTGGCTCAACTCCTCCCCCAACCCCTAGAGTCCATTCCGGCAGAAACACTCTTGGACCAGCTTCAAGAAGTTCAAGAACCACCTCAAGAGAAGCTGCAGCCAGCCTACAGGTGGGCTCCACACCCCCATCCACCCCTCTGCTCCCAGAACCGCTTCTTCACGTTCAGCACCTGGCCTCCTGGGTGAGATCTATGAGGCCCAGAGAAGGGAGCCTGGTGCCGGCCAGAGCTTGGGCTGATTGAGCCTGTCCTGGAGCAAGAGGCCCAGCTCCTCCCCAGTGGACCCACTAGGTCCTGCTATCTACCAGTGGGAGTGGGGTGGTGTAACAAGAGAAGGCTGGTGAGCCCCATCCAGCCCAAGGAAGCTCTTGGTCTATGGGAAGACACAGGTAGACTGGAATGTGACACAGGCAGGCTAAAGAAATTGGTATCAAGTGTCCTAGATGATTGGAGGAGAAAGGGATTAATTAGAAAGAAAAGGGATTCATGACTAACTAGGAGTTTCATGTAGTGCTGAACATCTATAATTCCAGCTACATGGGAGGCTAAGGCAGGAAGATCACATGTTCAAGGTCAGCCTGAGCAATTTAGCCAGACCCTGTCAAAAAAAAAAAAAAAAAATTAGAAGGGCTGATGGACGTCACTCAGTGATGGAGCACCCCTGGGCTCCACTCCCTGTACTGCAGGAAGAAAAAGGTACAAATCCTCACAAAGCAGGTGGTACAGCCTGTCTTTTGGTGAAGGAAAGAGCAAGTCAGAGACCCACTATGCCAGTCTGACATCCCTCAGTGTCTTAGATATTTCTAATCTAAAAACCACACAAGCAGTATAGCTTCCATTCTGCAGATGAAAACATGGAGGCTCGGGACAATTGGAGGACCTGCCAAAGTCACCTGGCAGGCCTGTCTGACTCAGCCTAGTAGCACTCAAACTCACCCATGGAGCTTGTTCAAAATGCAAGGCAGGACTGGGGGTGTAGCTCAGTGGTAGAGCACAGTTACCTCTGAGCTGGACTTCTGGAGCCAGCATTAGGTCTGTATTCTTAACAATTGCCCAGGTATGCCTGGCAGAGTTCAGATACGTTGATAGAATTTGAAGGAGCAGAGGAGGGGATGGGAAAAGGTCATCCTGGAAGCAGAAGAAGTGCAGGTGGAGGCGGGGAAGTGAGGAGGGTGCACTCTTCAGGCAGTGGGGAGCTTGGGGTGGTTGGAGGTGGGCAGGCCTGAGGAGCAGAGGAAGGGGTAGGCAGGCTTAGGTTTGCTGAAGGCCTGGGTTCTTGCTCTGGCCTGGACTTGGTTTTCTTTCCCACCTTGAGAAGTCAGAGGAGAAAGGGCTGAGAGAGGAAGGTGACCTGGGACAAGCCTATCTTTGAGACTCCTGAAGCCACCAGGGAAAAGGACAAGGGGTGTGTGAAAGGGCTTGGGACAGTGTCAGGCCCCACATGGACAGGTCATTGCTCATGCTTTATTCAATAGCTCAGGGAAAGGGGCCCTGTCTTCCCCACTCAAATGCAGGGCATGTCTTCCTGCCTGCCAGGGTGTGAACAAGCGCCTGAGGAGAGGGCTGCTACAGTGGCTGTCCTTACAGCTCCAGGGACAAAAGGGCCTGGGTTGCAATGGCCACAGAGGCACAGAATCACAGCTGGGGAGCATCCTGGGTCCAGCTGCGGGCAGTGGTGGTCTGGCTATCCAGGTCAGGCAACTCACCTCCCTGGAGTGGGCAGCTGACACCTGCACCCCTCCCATCTGCACCTTCTGCCCTTGGCAGACCTGGTTCCAAGCCTTTCCTTTGTATCTGTTTGTAGTCAATCCCAGAAGAAAACAAAGTCACCACCTCTGCCCCAAAGCGAAAAACCAGGTGAGGTTTCATGCGGGGGGGGGGGGGGGGGGGGCGGCACACCCTAGGTTCCTTGAGGGAGGAGAGGCAATGTGGAGATGGGTCCCTACCTAAGGAAACTACTCAATTCACCTATTCATTCACTCAGCAAATACTTACTGAGCACCTAATATGTGCTGGGGAAGAATTTGGACAAGTTCCTGTACCATGGGGCTCATATCTGAGGAGGAGGTGCACAGACAAAAAAATAAAAACACCTGGGGGGTGCAGGAAGGAGGTGGGTGTGGTGGGGCAGGAGGTTCCTCGAGCTGAACCTCGGGAAGGATCCAGCCCTCCGCAGGTGATGGAGAGCCCGAAGCAGAGGCCCTACCTGCCCAGTGTGTTAGTGGAAAAGCAGGCCAGGTGGCCCCATGGGCAGGCCCTATGGGTAGAAGGCAGTGGTGGAGGGGAGAAGAGACAGGTGGGCAGAGTCAGCCTGCAGGGAAAGCCAGGTGTGTGGTGTCACATGGAGGGCATGGGGGGTACAAGCAGGGTGCAGCGTATGTGCCCCCTGGCTGCTGTGGGAGACACGGCTGGCGGGGAGGTAGTGAGGGAAAGCAGGGAGGAGGCCCCTGCAGTCATCCAGGTGCCTCTGCGGGAGGGGAGCGGACTGGAGAGAGAGAAGAGGACAAATAGGAGCCTTCGACCTTACCCTCCTCCGTCAGGCTGGAAAGTGGGCGCACCCGACCTGCGCCCATGGGTTGGCCTTGCTTGGGCGGCACTGAGTGAGGGGAAATTATCTTGTGCCACATATAAAATACATAATGGAGTTAGCATCCATAATAGCAGAAGTTTAATTTTTAAAACAGTGTTTATTATAACACAGGCGCACTGCCCAGCAGTGCCTGGCACATAGTGGGCACTTCGTATTCATCCTCTGGATGTTGAAAGGAAAGGAAGGTGGGGCTCAGAGAAGGGAATCCACGTGTCCTGGGTCCCACTGAGCTGAGGACAGCAGCTGGGCTTGACTCGGCCTCTCTCCCCATCTGTTCCCACATATCCACAGAGCCCTTTCTGGGCAAGGGGCCTGGCCACGCCTGCTGGGAAGCTCCCAGGCGGGGCCCGCCCCTCCATGGCCTCTCCTCCTCCCTAGTGTACATCGGAAAAGCCCAAGTCCTCCAGGTGCACGCCAGCAAAGACCCAGAGGAGAACGCGTCCAAGCCAAAGGCAGAGAGCTGAGGACAGCAAAGCAGAGCTAGGCGACTTCACCTGCTCCGCTCTCAGGTGGCCCCTGAGTTCCAGGAGTCCCTGCCCCACCACCTCCACAAGCCCCTGATCGCCTACCAGAGTCTTCCAATAAAGCCCAGTCTTCCTTTGGAAGGGACAGTCCCACTCTCCTAACCAAGGAGCTCTGTGCTTGGGGCTGATTCTCTCCAAAGAGGGAGGGCTCCCTGAATCATCCCCTCCCATGGAGAAAGCCCAGATGCTACTTCCCACAGGAGCTGAGCTGGGTCTTTTACATTCCAGTACACTGAGATGCAGCTGAGAAAAGGGCTCTGCCCACCCTGGAGCCAAAACGTTCCCCACAGGGCTCTGGGTATGTCAGACCAGAGGTCAGGGAATCCACATTCTCCTTAGGATGATCATTCTTGCCAGGATGCATTCCTGTATTTGCCAGGGACTGAGGCAGAGACGGGTGATAGTTTATGAAGGGTGCCATGTGAACTGTTCTACATAACTATGCAGTACCATATTTCATTTTCCCAAAAGGCCCCTATGAGGTAGGACATTAGTATCATTGCCCCATTTGGTAGGTGAATAAACTGAGCCACAGATGAAACAATTTGTCCCAAGTCACAGTTAATAAGTAGCAGAGCAAAGATTTAAACTCTAGATGTCTAGCTGTAGAACTCTGGCTCACATAGCAATCCTCCCCAAAAGCTAGGGTTACATTTCTGGAAAGTATAAAGTGTCAGCTAACTTGAGGAGAAAAGGAACATTTATAAATATGGCCCAGGCAGCAGCTGAAGTGTCTCTGTCCTTCAAGGTTTAGAGAAGATGGCCTTGGCCCTCAGGAAACCCACAGAAAGCTGGAGAGGGTGAGGATTTACAAAGCTGTGGTCATCTGTGATCAACAGACTTGATTCATGGGTCGAGTGGCTCCAGTCTATGCTTCTGGTCCTGTTGCACCTTCTGTTCATTTAGATGACTTCTGTCCCCTTGCTGTTGCCCAAATCTCCATTCACACAGAACTCTCTGCAGCAGGTTCCTGCCTGGATAGAGATTTGCTGCAAATGCAGCAAACAGCTTCACAATATTAAACCATCCCATTTTCAAAGTCCTCAGCCTTTCCCTGTCACCAGTCTGCCCCCAGAAAGTCCACTTTGGCTTTCCAATTTTTAAATTGTGGTAAAACATACATAATAAATTTACCAGCTTAACCATGTTTAAGTGAACAGTTCAGAGGCAGAACTTACCCTGGAAAACTGAAACTCTGTACCCCATTTCTTCCTCCTCAACCCCTGGCAACCACCTTTCGTTCTGTCTCTATGTATGGGCCACTCTCGGTTCCTCACAATAAGTGGAATCATACAATATTTGTCTTTTTGTGGCTAGATTATTTGACTGAACTTAATGTTCTCAAGGTTGTTGTGTCAGAATTTCCTTCTCTTTTAAGGCTAACTACTATTTCATTGTGTGGATACATCACATTCCTTTTCTCCATTTATCTATTGGTGATATTGGGTTGTTTGCACTTTTGACCCTGCAAATCATGCTGCTATGAGTATAGCTATACAAAAGTACAGTGATTGATTTTTATGTCACGCGTCATCAAAGGATCTAGAAAAATCAGAGTAAGCAAATGTAGGAGAGTAATATTCATGTTAGAAAGTATAGCTGAAGTTTGGGGTTGTGGCATTTGCATAGCATGCTTGAGATCCTGGGTTCAACCCTCAGCACCAAAAGAAAAAAAAGTAGAGCTGACATGACAGGAAGGCGAGGCAGTGGAATGGAATGGATGACAGATTAGAGAAAATCACAACACATGCAGAAGAAATGAACTCAACATGCAGTGGAGGTGAACCATAAGACCACTCTGTCAACCCATGATGAAGATACACTTACTAGTTGTTTTTTTCCTTAGACAAATCAAACCCTCTTCCGAAGTATTGTGTATGAAATTGTGCTAAGAATAGTACCTACCAAGGGAAGCTATTATCACATGTGCAGGGTAAAAAAGACGAGCTCTGACCATTCTCTGCCAGGATCTGAATCCTGAATCTGCCTCTTTTTACTCATGAGACCTTGAGCAAGTTACTTCTTTCAGTTCTTTATCTGTCAAATTATCACACTATAGTATCTGCTTCCTAAACTTCCAGAATGGATTAAATACTTAAAGAACTGAAGGATACAGGCTGAGGAGATAGCTCAGTGACACAGCACCTATCTGGCAAGTACAAGGTCCTGAGTTTGATTCCTGGTACAAAAAAAAAAAAAAATTGAAGGATGCTTCTTATACAACTTTAGGAATATGTGAATATTTCAATGTATATGTATTTGGTACACAGACAAAGCCGGTGGTAAAAACTGAAAAGTGTTTCCATTACAATGCCCACTACAGTCATTATTATTTAATATTATGCTCTGGAAGTATTAGCTAATGCAATCAGACAAGAAAAATAAAGGGGCTGTGGTCCGAGCAAGGCTAATAAAAGAGGCTTGACAAAGATGAAAATTAGATGGGTAGAGGAAGAGGAGAAAGACTTGATCTTTGTGGCTACCTGGGCAGAACTAAGGTTTGCACAGCCAGAAAAAATGCTGCCAAAGATTCCTGTTGCTGAGTTATCCAAGCCATGGCTGGGCCTACCTGTGGGTGTCACAGTGAGGGTTTTCCATGGGCTCTTGGACACCTTTACCTTGTCCTTGATTAAGATGGATTTCCAGCCTACTCATTCCTGGTTAAGTAAAGGAGAACCTGATTGTTGACCCAGCAAATGGACAAGGAGCAGCCAGGAGCTGGGTCACTGGGGCACTCCCGTGTCCTTAAGCCGAGAGTCCCAGGTGTGAGTCTCTCCTCTTCAAATTCCAATCATTCTAAGCAATGTTTTCCAAGGTGTGGTCAAAATACCCTGTGTAGTAGATAAACTTAGGCAGCATAAAGAAACATTTTACATCTATACATCTGTATTTAATTTCATGTGTATGGGAAACAACACATCAAAATGATGATACGTGCATATTACTGCTTAGACAAAACTATATGTATTCAGGCAAAAAAAGGTAAATTTAAAGAAACATGGAGGAATAGTACAAGTGGTCAACAGTTGCAATGAAATTCATGACTTGGTTATGGGCATGGCTCAAATTTAGAGCCAGGGCTTGTGTCAGTGACTGAGAACAGGACTCTGCATTGTGATGAATCTGGATTCTTAATAAAGAAACCTCACTTTCTAGCTACATGACCTTAGCATTTTCTAGATCCTTTAATGACATATGATATAAAAATCAGCTATCCTCACAGCAGCATTATTTGCAGTGGGCAAAAATGATCCCATATCATTAATAAATAAATGGATAAAAGAAATGTGGCATATCCATAGAATAGCCAATGAAATAGTATTTAGCCTTTAAAAGGCATGAAATTCTGACACAAGAGTAAACTTGAAAGCATTAAATTGTGTGAAAGAATCTAGTCACAAAAAGATTTCTCTAGTTTCTGACTCTATTGATTTGCCTCTTCTGGTCTTTCACATAAATAGAATCATGCAATATGTAGTCCTTTGAGATTGGCTTTTTTCACTTAGCATAAAACTTTCAAAGTTCATGTTGTAGCATATATCACTATTTCATTCCTTTTTATGGCAAAACAATATTTCATTGAATGGTTAGACCACATTTTGTTTATCCATTCATCAGCTGATGGGCATAGGGGTTGTTTCCACCTTTTGGCTGGGCTTGCATTTCTCTACACCTTGCCAACACTCATTATTATCTGCCTTTTAAAAATGTAGCCACCCTACTGGGTATGAGGTGGCATATTGTTGCAGTTTGTACTTTATTTTCCATTTGTATATCTGCTTTGGAGAACTGTCTATAAAAACTGTCAGTGAGTCTTTAAAAACAAAATTCCTACTATGCATACAGATATACTTCATTCCAAATGGAACTTTTCTAGCTCTATAAGGAAAGCCCATCAGATTTAGGTCTGAGGGGCTCACGCCTTAGTTTGTGTTTGTGTAACTTGGCAGCTCATGAATTCCATTTAGCTAAGGTCTATTTGTTTCATTTGCTGTGAAATTATTTATATAAGGTAATTATTGCTTATATACTTTTTTCCTGCCAGTAGGAAAGAAAAATAAAGTGCATAGTGGCAGTGTTTCTGTCTCCATCTGCGATGCCCCTTGCCCCTACCACAAGACTACCATCGACAGTCACCGTGCTCATCTCTTCCCTGGGCCTCCCAAATCTATGGTCTTTATCCACCAAACCTGAAGGAACTGTGAGGGTTGTAGATGTCTCTTTGCCATCCTCCTGTGGCTGTATTCTTCTGGGAACAAGGCACATGCTCATTCCTGGAATTTTTACCCAGCTTGACCTAAGTCGTGCTGCCTCTGGGTGACTTGTGACGTGCAAGTGCTGCTGGTGGGACCAAGTGTCCGCATAAGAGGCCCATCCCTTGCTGCTTGCATTTCCTCTGGGTCAGCTCATTGTGCAAAATGAAACAAACAGCAACAAAGATGCCATAAGGGTACTTGTGTTTTAGGAGCTGCTGACTCCTTTGTGAAGGTGTGAAAACGCTGAGCAGAACCAAAAGCATGAAAATCAAGCCTGGAGACTGAAAACACATGCTAGCCCTGCCATTCCTTAAGTTGGGAGACAGACGGGACAATGTTACCTGCAAGATTCACGGGACATGTGGTTTTTCCCAAGGCCACCCAGCAGCTGTAAAAATGCCATGCTCACCCCCTTTTTGCTTTCTTCCCAGTGAAGCTCTAGAGCCACTGTTGCTAGTTTGGCTTATTCTGGGAATACCCAAGTGCATGGCCACCTCAGCCTCCTAGTAGTACCAGTCACTGGTTAATCCTCACATTTCCCAGCCTGCCTCCAAAACAATCACCCCATGGAACAGACCCTGCCCCCTATGACCCTCCCAGCCACTTCAGTAGAACTCTTAGAAGACACACTTCCTCCTCTCTCTCATCCAGCGGCATTCTACCAGGTCAATCCATCAGCTTTCATCAGACCCCAGGCTTGAGCTCTGATGTCCTGACTCATTAGACTCTAATCGCTGGTATGACATCCACGCAGCCCTGCTCTCTTATGCCCACTCCACTAAGCTTTTGTCACTACCAGAGATCATTAACTAAGGGTAATTACTGCTCAGAGTCTGTCTTCCTGTGAGCAGGAAGGGGAACAAAGACAGTGCTTAGTGGCAGCTCTCCCAGCTCTGCTCTGCTCTTCTAGATAGAGGTGGGCCGCTCAACGTGACAGTGTTTGACAGTTTCGCTGCTCACACAGAGAGGTGGACACCTGTCCAGCCCTGACCAAGGGTAGCCTTGGAGGAAAGGCCAATGATCAGTGTGAGCCTCTGAGGGCCGCTCCTAAAACCCTGCTAGGGATAAGCCATGGGTGGGCACCTGGCCCTGCCCCCAGCTAGCTGACTGTCCCTGGACAAGTTCCCCCTCTTTGGGCATCAGTCTATTGCTCAGTTCACTAAAGATCCCTTCCTTTCCTTCCCCTTCCTCTTTCCTTTCCCTTTCTTTTTCCCCTTTTCCTCCTCCTCCTCCTGCACCAGGAAAATACTCTACCATTGAGCTGCACCCCCTGTCCTAAGGCCCCTTCTTAGTTGTTGGATAGTCTGTGCTTCCCGGTTCAAACTACAGAATCACATGGAGTCCTCAGGAATAAAACTCACATGTGTTAAATGCTTTCTATGCCCTGAAACCATGCTTAACATTTTGTACACATATTATCTTATTTAATCCTTAAAATAATGAGATTAAATATTATTATACTATTTCAGGTAAGGAAACTGAGGCAGAGAGAGAGATGTGACTCCCCTCAGGCACACCACCTGTCTTAGTCACTCTCCTCATTGCTGGGACAAAATACCTGACACCCGTAACTGAAAGGAGGTGAGTTTATCTCAGCTCACAGTTTCAGAAGTTTCAGTCCATGGTTAGCAGGCTCAGTCCAGAAGCAGCAGGGCAAAAGGACCTGGGTGGAGGCCAGGGCTCACACCAGGGGTCAGGAAGCACAGCAATAGGGGAGGAGTCCTCAATGACCCATCCCATTGAGGCCCACCTCCTAAGAGCACACTGGACCACTGAACTCATTCGTGGATGGATTCATTAATGAATAGAGTGCCCCCTATGATCCAATCGCCTTCTAAAAGCCCAACCTCTGAACTGGGCTTTTGGGGAACTCCCCAGATCTAAACCATAATACTAGCGGAACCCAGTTCTCTTGGCTTCCCAGCCCAGGTCCCTCACCTAGCTTCCTTTTTTTCAACCTGGGGGCAGTGCCTCCTCCAAGCTGCTCCAGCCAAAGCCAGGGCAGGGCTCTCCTTCCAAGACTCTGGCCCTGTAATGTGACCTAACCCGGAGCTGCCTACCCTGGACTTGGAAACCAAGGCTCAGAAAGGGAGGCAGAGGGCTCCCTGTATAAATGCTCATTGCTAGGGGATCTGTGAGGTCCCCGCCCATCCCAGCCCCTCAGGCTCTGTCTCCACAGCAGTAGACCAGTTCTGCAGACCAGAGGCTGCACGCTGTGACCACATGTCAAACCCAGACCACTGACAGGTTTCATCTGACATTTGGAGTGTTTATTTTCTGTGAACATTTAAAAATCAGTATTTGAGTTTTCTCTTGAAGCCATGAAAACACCTGACCTCGGTCCATATGGCACCTGTTCTCAGGCACCATTAGTCCCCAGCTTGTTTATAAGGTTTGCCTTGAGTTTGGGCGCCCCGCCCAGCACACGGTCCCTTTATGCAGCTTACTAAGCTCCAGGGACCTCATTGTTCTGCACCCAGGCAGCAATGGCCTCCAGGCCCTGGGACAATCTGAGCTGTTTTCCAACCCTGGAGAGCTCAGAAGTGTTTTGTTCCCAGTCACAGAGCAAGGAGAGTTCTTGTGTGAAGCATTTTTTTTATTCCACTGCAAGCCACAGGAAATTAGTAGTGTGGGATCCAGTTGTAACCACTGCAGAAAATGTCTGCTGACTGCTTAGTTTTGTCTAGTAGCCAGCTCTGCAGTCTCTTGGCCGAGGGGTAGGACAGACTTGGTAGAGGAGCATATGGAGAGTGACTATGACAGCCCCTCTTTGTAAGTGTTCCCATCCCCTGTATAAAGGATTGTTGGGAAAGTAGACTTCCTAGGAAAATATGGCACCTGGAAGGTTTTGTCCATCTTGCAGAAGAGTGAGGCAGTAACGGCCCAACTCTCAGGCAAGGCTGGCCCACACCCAGGTCTCCCGCCCCTCGCCCCCTGCTCTGCCTCTGCAGCCTGCTGGCCACTTGGTGTGATGGTTAGCTGGCACTGATGATTCAGAGGCCCTTGGACTGTGCCAGGCTCTTGGGGACATCATCGTGAATGACAGCTCTTGCCACGTACACAGCAAATACATAAGGTTCTGGAAGTGTCACCTCTTTGGATGCCCAGGACTTCTTTTGTAGGTGTTTTGAGGGAAGATGATGAGAATCAGACTCTATAATATTTGGGGTTCAATATTATTACATAATTGGAGAGACCTATTGGGAAGGCGATTTGGAAATGTGCATCGAGTGACTTCAAGATGTGGTTTGGGTACATTCTGCATCCTAGTGCACTTCGACTGTTTTCTAGGATATATTTATATATATGCACACATCTGGATTATCAAATTGTAAGTGGAAGTTATTCCTAGGTAGAGAGATTTTATTTTTCATCAGGTTTTAAATTTTTTCAATAATGAACATTTAGTTCATGCATAAAGTTTTAAAAGAAAAAAGGATTTGGGGGCCATGGAGACTTCTAGTCAGTAGCAGATGCGTTCCTGGGCACCATCCAGGCACACTCTTACCTGCCATTTCTCTTCCCCCTTCCACCCCTCAACACACACTCCTCACCCCAAGACACAGGTGCTTGAACTCAGGTAGGGAGCAGAGGCTTTGCAGGAAGAGCCCATGGAGCTCCAGGTCAGATGACCCAGGCTCCATGCCTATCCCCTCCCCTGCCTACTGTGTGTTTCACAAGGAAGGCCTGGAGGTCCACCACAAGGGGGGTTGCAACAAGAAAGATCCCAGAGGCCACGCCGCCCCATGGGGGCCAGGTTGCTTCCCATGAACAGATGAAGGCTGAGCTGCCCCCTGGAGGAAAGAGTCTCCTGCCCTGCATGAGGTCCAGCCCTCTTGTCTCCCCCTCACTGAGCCTGCAGGGCTTGCTTGCTGAGTGCCAAACGAGGACACAGGCTGGAGCCCGTAGGGGGCCCATTCCACACAGAGGACAGCCATGGTGAGCACTTCTGAGGCTCCCTGGACAAGAAGATAAGTGGATCACACCCAATGTATGATCACCCTGGGGGAGCACAGATGTCTTAGCAATACTGAAGTTTCTGACTTAGAGGCATGGCCTACTTTTACACAGGTATTCTTAAATTTTTCTCCACCATGCTTTATAGATTTCAGTGCATAGTATTTGGTGTCTTTGATGTTACTGTAGATGGGTCTTGGTTTTTAAAACTCGCCCATGCACAGGGCTGCCAGTGACCCTGAAGTTCACACTTCCCCGTAAACATCTATTAACACTTCACTCGCCCTTTCTTATCTGCTCTTCTGGGTGTCGCCTCCACCTACCTCTCACCAAAGGTGGGACAGACACTGTGTGTGTCCTGTCTTTAGAGAAGTTTGTCACCGTTTGGAAACTAGTTCACTTGCTTTCCTTGTTATGTTTCTTGTTAGGGTAGAGCAAATCTCTCCCTCCAGTGTGGGGATCGAAGCCAGGGCCTCATATATGCTAGGTAAGTGCTCTACCGCTGAGCCACATCCTAGCCCCGTGATGCTCTCCTGTAGCGTTCAGGGTTCCATGGCCCAAGGCAAGTCTGGACAGCCCTGGACTTGCAGAGGTGGGAAGGCCATAGCAAGGCTGGAGAAGCGGGAGGACCCAGCCTAGGGCTCTGGCAAAGCCCATCGCTGTGCACAGGCAACAGCTTCCTTGTCCCCCAAACTGACTGGCTCCCCTGAGCCCTATTCAGCAACAGCCCAGTGACCCACCTCACTCCTGGGAGGCCTCTCATCATCATAAAGCACACGTTCTGTTTTCAGCGGTGGGCTAGGCAAGTTACTGTTTCCATCCTCCCGCAGGTGAGCAGACGGGTAGAGGCCCCGCAGAATGCGATAGCCTGAAGGCTCCCTGGAGCTGTCTCACCCTATGCTGGGCCCTGTGGACATGCCGAGGGTTGGTTGCTGGGTTCCTCCTCAGTTCAGGTGCTGTGGTTCTGCTTCTGGATGCTATGCTTCTGCCTGAGATTACTGGCGCAACATCCCCCTGCGCCTTGTCCTGACAACGGCAGTGGTTAGTGTCCACTGCCCAGAGCACTATGTGGGCGACTCCTAGGGGGAATCTGGTATCAGAGGGGAGCTGCGCAGTGATAAATTGACAGTGTCTGCCACAGGCACAAGAAAGGGACATGCAGACACGTTTTTTCTGTGTGTTATCGCTGTCCCATGCAGTGTTCCAGGACCACTGTTAAGCTGGGCTTCCGGGGTTCATAGAGGGCCCCACTCTGCCCATGTGAATTCCATGGCAAAGACTGTACCAGGCCAAGAGGAAGTGCTGGGCCCATGATCCTCCTCTCTGTAGGCCACCCTCTGGACTCCTGAGCCCACAGAATTCCTGCCTGAACCATCCTGAGGCTGCCTCTGAGGCCTGCACTAGCATCTCCCTGCGTCATCTTCCCCGAGGTGTGACCAGGTCACTCATGGGCTCTCCTAGGCCTCAGTGGCAGCTGTGTACAGCAACGTAGCCCCCAAAGGGAGGCCTGAAAAGCTCTGATTACTAGAACACTTTCATCTCTGTGGATCCCAAAACTACCTCCCAGGCATCTCCACCCTTTGGGTATTGACCTACGAGGCCACATAGCTGCTTGGTGGTCTCTATCCCTCATCATCTTGCTACAGCCCAGCCCAGCCTGGCCCCTTAGAGCTCTGGCTCCATTATCTCCTTTCCCCAAAACAAAAGGAAAAAAAAGGAAAACACACACAGAAACACTTTTTGGGGTCCAAAACAAAACACCAAGGGCAATGTTAATAAATACATAGCATTTCAGAGAGCTGGGTCTCCAAGACACAAGGTTTACACTCCTTAGCCCAGGCCAGGCTGGTTCTCACAGGAATGCTGTGCTGTGTGCCCCAGCAACTTACAGAGGGGAGGGCAGCCCTGGGAGAACACCTGGGGTCCCAGGACCCAACTCCCCAAGGAGGCTGCAGGGCAAGGCCCCATTGCTCCTCTTCCTCCTGCCTGGGAAGGAGACTGACAAGCACCTCTGTGAGCTGGGCTCATCTACTGAGAGCTGTGAGATCACTCCAGACCCCAGAAGTGAAGATGCCCAGAGGCACCCTGGAAGTCTGGGCTACTTCCCAAGAGCCAGTGGGCCTAGAGCTGTCACCTGCCCCTTGGAGGTGGCAGGGAGGGCAGCTGGCCTGGCTGAGCCCCTGTAGCACCACGGGTCTGCGTCCCTCCCCACCCCAGCTTGGGGCACAGGTCAGCCTCTCACTCTTGTCATCTTCTGGACCTGGCTGAGTGGCTCTCCGGTCCTCAGAGCACCACATATCCCTGGCCTGGCTCAGGCCAAGTGGGAAAGGACCCCTGACTCTGACAGGAGTAGACTTCGGCAAGGACAACGGCCAAGGGGCACAGCCTGAGAAATCATGTCTCCCATGCGTCCCACAGCCACCTTCCAGGCTGGCCCACTCCTCACCCTGCAGGGCTGATTCCTGGTCCAGCTAGGGGTCCAGCACCAGTTTGGAAACCCCAGATGATGAGGACTTGCTCAGGACATGCTGGCCCCACTTCTCTGTGGGTTGGGTGTGCAACCGTTTGTAACGTGGAGTAACCAGGAATAACAGGAGAGACATGCACAGTGGCAAAGTGTAGCCATGAACACTGCACTCCCCCAATCCTTGGCTTGTGCTGCTGCGTGGGGCCCTTGGCTAAGGACAGCTGGGCCTGAGGTGAACTCACCTGCCCTCACGCTACAGGGGAAAGCCTGGTCATTGTGTTCGTTCCAGGTCCTTCCCAGCTTGCCCTGTGAGCAGCCCCTACCTCCCTCTGCCCACTGTGTCATGCTAGGACCTGCACAGGGGGCCCTCACAAGTCCCGGGAAAGCAGGCAGCCCTGACAGCTCCTAGCATAAGGTTCAGACCTGCCCAGGGCCTGATGGCTTGGAGAAGGGCACTAGTAGACTCTCAGCCCTGAGAGACCCCAGGAGCCTGACAGGTCCAATCTGGGTACTGCTGGCTGAGGTATCTCTGGTTTGGGCTTTCCCTGATCTTCTTCCTCCTGCCCCCTGTCATGGGGGAAAGAGTGTCACAGACCCAAACAAGAAAGAGAAGGCAAATAATTTAAAAGGAAGTCCATGCTTGCCCCTGCCCTGCTGCATGAGTCCTCTGAACTGTGGTCACCAGGGCAGCACAGAGTGTAAACGTGGCTGGCAGGATGGTGTGGCATCGCTCATGTCACCGGGGAGGTGGCGGGAAGGCTGGTGCCTGGATACGTGGATTCCTCTCTGGGCTGCCCTTGGTCCTCGGAGGCTGTCACAGCTGCCGGGGTCCGGCCCCAAGGTGTTCCCTGGGGTATGGTAGGGGAAGTGCCCCCAAATGCTCTGGGGCTCAGGGTCTGTGGGACAGAGTGAGGCTGGCTGACTAAGGACCTTGTGTCTGGTGGCCCTGGGAGCTGTGTGGGTCGGCCATGGTCATCTTGTCCTGTTGGCTCCACAGTAGGTTCCGTGATGGCAGGGGTGGCCTTGGGTTGTGGCAAGGGGCTCCCAGGAGTGGAGGAGGTGGGTGGGGAGGCCGGGCCAGGGCCCAGGCTGGCGTTGGGGCCTGAGGCCCTCTTGGAGCAGGACTCGCAGCACAGCCGGTGGTAGCCAGGGATGGCACAGTGGTGATCAAGCGCTTCCATCTGGCAGAAGACCGACCTGTCCCCCACGCAGGACTCTGCTGCATACATGGCACAAGGACAGTGCTGGGGAACTCCTGCTGGCCTGGTGACACAGACCCCACCTCCCACTCACCGACCATCTGCCCGCCCTCCATCCCCAACCCTGCTGCACTCACTGCTTCGCCCCCTGGCGGAGAGTGAGCCCTTCTATATGGGAGGCAGCTGAGGCCCCCCCCCCGAGAAGCACATCTCAGCAGGGTCCCCGCTCACAAGCCATCCAGGCCTACAGCAACAGAAACTTGCAGTGAGGGACAGCACTGTTTCAAGGGAACCTTCCCTGGGACCCAATATGTGAAAAAACCCAAAAACTGGGGTCCTGTGTGATTTGTCCATACTTGGCTGCTCCAGAATCACCTGGCAGCTTCAGCACACACCAGACAGCCTGGGTAGTCTGGGATGGGACCAGGCCCTAGGGTGAGTCTGCCCTGCAGCAAAGCTCAAAAACCCTGTTCTGGATGGAAACGGGAATGCCTGCCCCTCACAATCAACCCAAAGGCATCTGACCCCTCCAGCCACAGTCAGCCCAATGCCCATGGAGTGCATCCCAAGTTAAGAAGATCAATGTCCTGCCAGCAGTCCGCACAATCTGGACCACTAAGCCCTCCACCAGGAACTTTGCAAGCAAGTATATTAAGATTTCAATCTAGGCTGAAACACTGTGAGGCCTTGGCTATGTCCCCTGAACTCTCTAAGCCTTGGTTTCTTTGTCTGTAAAATAAAGATAATGCTGCATGTACCAATGGATGGTAACACTACAATTATAAATGGCATTTATAAAGTGGCTGGCATAGAGGGAAGCTCATGATACTAGTTTGCTTTGCTCTAAGTTGCAATTGAACACATTTCTGTGATTAATGCAGGCAGGGTCGTCTAAGCAGAACGTGAAGGCAGAAGTGTGGCTTTCCACCGGTTTTTGCCAGAGATGGTTGGGGGTAGGGGGCTTAGGGGAACAGATCGGAGAAAATGCAAAGCCAGTGGCCTCTAGGTGGCACCAAAAGTCCAGGCCCAGAATCAGGACCCCACCACTTGCTTTGGAGAAGAAAAGAGGAGTATCCAGGAACGGGCCCAACCTGAGCTTCAACCCAGGAGCACAGAAGCAGAGAGGTTGAGGAATTTGCACAACATCACACAGCCACACCTGTTTCTCTAACTAGAAGTCAGAGTCTAATCTTTCTGCTATTCATCTTGCCAGGTTCTTGGGAGGTGAGAAAGAGAAAGAAGGAACCTAGGGAGGGAGGGTGGAACACATAGCCTGCTGTATAACAGGTGCTCGCAAGTATTTATTCGTGAATGAATGAATGGATGGATGGATGGATGGTGGGTGAACTGACTGGCTTCTGCTCACAAGGTAGAGAGAAACTGCTCTTCCTAGTCTGTCACTCTTAGCAGAGCTGGGCAGGAGCACATGTGCCCTCATTTGATCCTGTCAGCAGTAATATGAGGGCAACTCAGATCTACAACTGCTAGCCAGGCATGGTGGTGCACGCATGTAACCCCAGCACTCAGGAGGCTGAGGCAGGAGGATCTTTGTGAGTTTGAGACCAGTCTGGGCTACAAAGTGAGCTCAAGGCCAGCCTAAACTGCATAGTGAGACCCTGTCTCAAAAAAAAAAAAAAAAAAAAAAGATCTACAACTGCTTATTAAAGATCTTAGAACCAGGTAAGACTCACAATTCAGGCCTTTGGGGTCATAAAAGTAGTCCTCTGTGTATTTATATCCTAGATCATCCTCACTATCACCTTATTACCAAATATGGCAATGTTTCTGTAGCAGAAGCATGCACGATCTTGTGCTAATCCAGATCAGATTTTGTCACCAAAGAAACGTGCACCAAATTCAAGGGAAAAAAAGGCTTTTGGCCTTCTGCATCTTAGAATTGCAGAGAAGAGGTCATGGACCAGTGTAGCAGTATTCTCACTTCCCAGCTAAAGATCCTGAGGCTCAGGAAGGCTGGGCCACCCAGGCCACATGCTGGGTCTGTTCTGCCACACAGTCGTGTTCGGGACCCTGAAACCCCCAAAAGGTTCAGGGACAGGGAGGGGTCCTTGGGCCGCACTTACTTGGTGATATCTTATTCATGGGAGTCAAGGGCCCTGACTCGGACACTCGCTGTCCCTCTAGGGTCACGAGCTCCTGAATCTCTGCCATTGCTGTGGAGTTCCGGAGATTTCCTGTGAGGAAGGAGAAGCAGCCTCAGCACTGGCAAAACCCCTGATCTGATACGCTTGGGTTTGAAACATTTCGCAGTTCAGATTTCTCTTCAAGTTTTGGAATAATATACATCAGAAGATAAAAAGACAGGACTCAAGTCTAAACATGATATTCATATTTTTATATATCATGAGCATCATTTTATACAAATATTTTAAATAATTATTATAATAGCTATTAATAATGGTTTGAATTATTTTAAAATTAAAAGTTACTAATTAGAGCTATTGCAGTTATTAGTTTTAAATCTTAATAATTTGGGGAATGAAACAAAGTTTGTGTATCACAGCTGAAGGTGCCAGGAGGGTCCTTTTCCCATGGGGCTGCTGGCTAAACTGTGGGCTCTGCATCTGCGTTTTCACCTGGACTTGTCCCATGAGGCCAGGTGAGAAATTTTCAACTTGTGGCATCATGCTAGCCCTCAAAAAGCTTTAGATTTTGCATTTCAGATTTTTGGACTAGGGGTACTCAACCTGTATTTGGGAATTCTGAGACCTGGGTACAAGGTTAAGGCCAGAGGAGCTGGGCCAGGGCTCCCCCGCTCTCCCCACACACACTCACCTTCACAGGTGGGCAGGCTGCAGACCTGCACCGAGTCGGGCTTGTCCCCCTCGCACTGCCTGAGGCTGTTAGCGGTGGTCCTGCACACCACCTGCCGCTGCTGGACGCCCTCTCCACAGGTGGCAGAGCACTGTTGTGCAGAGTGCAGACCAGGGTGGTGTGGGGAAAGACAGAGGATGACTATGAGCTCAGAGTCCAGCCAGGGCCCAAGGACAGAAGGCAGGAGCCACGTCTTCACTGACATGCAAGCACTGCTTCTAAACACGGGGGGGTATCACGTCCGTCCTCAGATTCTTAACAGTGGCAGGGCTGCAACCCAAGATCAGGGCCCCTTGGGCCCTTCCATAACCTAAACAGTGAACCCCAGCTTGGGAGGGGACTTCTGGGACCTCATTCCAGCTAGAACCGCGTGCGCTCGCTGCGTCTGCTCTGTGCCCAGGTTCTCAAATATTCTATATATCACTCTAGCGAAGCTCCTGTTGTGATCCATCATGTGGTGTGAGCTGGGGCAGGACAATTTGCCTGACACCTTGTTAAGGGCAGGGAGCTGGACTGTGGCACCTGCTGTCCCCCTGACTCCATTCCCAACTCTATAACCCAAGACACCTAAGTGACAGAGTCTCTACAGAGCCTTCTATCTCTGACATTCAGTGACCTCATGACTATTTACCCAGCGTGGGTCACAGAGGCCTGTTTACAGCGTCCTCTTCCTCACAGGAGAAAGGCATGAGCGCACAGGGCAGAAGACAAACAGACTGTAGGCGCAGGGGCGGCCATCCGCCCCTGCCCCTGCACCTGACATTCTTCTCACTCTGGTAAGTGGGTCAGGGCAAGGGTCCTGGGTGGCAGAACAAGAACCCTAGCAAAGGAAATTTGCCCAATGTGACTGGGTTGTTTTCTAGGCACTGACCACAGCCTCTGCTAACAGACAGGAAAGACCTTGCATACAGGGCATGTGACCACTGAGTGATACATCAAAGTCAAGGGGCCACCACGGGACCACCATGGCTCATCCTCCCTGGACAAATAACAAACAAAAGTCACACAAACAGCGGCCACCCACCCTAAAGCCCTGGCCAGATTCACAGGGACTCTGTCTTCCATCTCCTCACCTCTCTGTTAGTTTATGTCTGGGAACTTCAAGGACCAGCAATCTTTCTGTTTTGTATCAAAATAAATGAAGCTGTATGTTATGGGGAAGAATGTAAAATCTGAGTTGAGTAGGGCTATTTTGTTATTCGTTTGTCCATTCCTTTATTGTGTATCCTGGGGCTAGAACCCAGGGCCTCACACATACTGGGCAAGTGCTCTACTGCTGAGCAACATACAGCCCCAGCCTCAAGTGGGGATTTTTGGTTCTTTGGTCACACCCCCACAGTCCTTCACAGCTCCAGCAGGCTGATCTGTGAACGCTACTTTTGTCATTGGTTTATGTGCCTATTATGTCTCCCTCAGGGGACTGCAAACTCCGGATGGAATCCTATCCTGGTTGATACTGGGTTCCTAGCACGCTCTGTACAAGGCCTGGCATGTAAGTGTTTCTGGAAGGTAAGGAGGTGACTTATCTTGCTCCTGTGGGATACAGGGATATTACCTTGGCTCCTGGTGCCCTCTGAGCTGAGAGCAGATGTGAATGGCCATAAATACCTAGCATAGAACCATGCCTAGTGAATGTGGGAGCAGTGCCACATTGTTAGAACACCCAGATGGGATGTGGGGAGACTCAGACAGAAACTCTCCGTCTGCCCCAGAGCGCCAGGAAATCCCTCTGGACCTTCCCCCATCCAGACCTGCCTCTTTCCTGAGTGCTTTTCACCTGCTGAGGATGACTCACCTGGGACCAGGCTCCCGTTCGCCATTGGGCTGGGCAGGGAATGCGGAGGCAGGGCCTCCGGGCCTCAGGCCGGGTGCCAGGACAGGCCTTGGCTGGCATGGCTTTGTGGGTGTTGTTGGAGAGGGGCAGCAGGCACTGCACCCCTCGAGTCTGCACCCCCAGCTTCCCGCAGCTCCTGCTACAGGCACTCCATTCCTCCATCACCCATCTGGAAACAGTCAGGAGATAAGGTGGAGGGGACACTACCTCCCAGATGTCACCTCCCACCTTCAGATGGATGCCGGTGAGAGCTAAAGAGTAGGTGTGGCGTAGGAATGCTCGGGGCCCAGACAACTGTCCACCTGGCTCTGCTGCTACCTGGCCGCGTGACCTCAGCAAACTCACAGGTCTCTCCTGCGGTTACCTGAAGTGACGTAGGGTAGCAAGTTGAAGCTTGGCACTCTGTGTGTCCTGGGACAAGGGGCAAGCTACAAGCTCAGTGACCCCTCTTTGGATCAGGATTGTCTCAACATCCCTTAGATATCTGAGTGCCTCCCATGTAGGACTGTCATGGGCACTGAGGGATGGCAGTGCACAAAACAAACCAAAGCCATGCTTTCCCAGACACTCCTCCCACAGGGACGAGGGTGACGCCATCGTCCCCCCCCCCCAGCCTCAGCCCCCAGCAGCTACACAGCTGGCTTGCAAGCATTTTAACAGCCCAGCAACTTCCAACTGCCAAACCAAGTCCTTCTCTGCCTCAGTTTCAAGACCTTTTAGTAAATGGGGGCTTTTTGAGGCACTTTTTCAAAGTCAACCTCTTCCTTTAAAAAAAGAAAACTCCAAGACTTGAAGAAGCCCACCTAGGACCTCAGTGGTCAGCCCTGCATGCAGGCTCTGTGGTCACATCTGTGGGGTTAGTCTGATGGCAGGGAAAAGGGACAGCACAGAGGGTGGGTATGCAGCTGTGCCGGGCACAGGAGGGGCTGGATACCACAGCCCAGGCGGGGCATAGCATGGCCACCATCGACTCCAGGGCAGGTCAGCAGCCCCCAACGTGGCTCTGGATTACATGTGCACTCCAGCTCTGACCTAGAGTCCATCGCAAGGCATAGCTCTCACTTCTCCCCTGAAGTCCCTCCAAATAACCCCCAGAACATGACCTTGTGCTCAAAAGAGCCTGTGTCCTCAGGCTGGGGAATCCCAAGCGGGGGCTGGCAGGCCAAATGTCCTTGGTGGACAGCACCTGGCCTGGGGGTTGGGCTCAGTAAGCACAGAAGCCACTGTGTATATTTGAGCACCATGTATCACTAGGGAAAAGCCATGTCTGGGAGATTCCTCCCTCTTCTAGGAGTGGAAAATAGTGACCCAGAAGCCCCAGAGGTCATGGCTGGGCATGGAGAGTGGGTGCTGCCTGTGGCAGAGCCTGTGGCGTGGACTGCTGCTGCCAAAACCTGGCTCCTGGGCTGAGCTGGGTAGGGAGGGTGAGCAGCACCTCCTCGTGGGTCAGGACAGTGAGAAGCAGGGGCCAGGCTCCAGAGCGCTCACCCAGGCTGGGGGCACAGGTGCTGGTTGCAGCGCCGACGGATGGGCTTGGGCCTCTTCCGGGGGTCACACAGGTGCTGCTGCACCATGTGGTGGTCCCGTCTGCGCCGGCAGCCGTACTTGGTGAACTGGATACCTGTGAAGGGTGGGCTGCTGTCTGGGTCCTTCTGGAGAGCCTGGGGGGGTGAGGCAATCCCACCTCCTTGGTGTCTTTGTGCCCCCTACTGCCCAAGGCACTTTCTGCCTGCCTTGATCAGGTCTGTCTCCTGCTCCCTGGTGCAGCACTGGTGGGAAATGGCTTCGGACAGTTGCCTGTCCCCACTGGGCCAGCTCTCATGGGTAGAAGCCCTGCCCAGGGCACCCCGCCCCATCCCTAGCCCCTGTCCACACACAGGAGATCTTTAGGGGAAACACAGGCATGAACAGGGACACGTCAAAATGAGACAATGCCAGGTCCCACCCGCCTCCTCCCGGCTCCTCTCCTCCCTAGAGGACCACTGCTGCCCCACTGGGCAATGGAGCGCCGCTACCTCCTCCGCAGGCCTTGGTGCAGGGGGCCCAGCTCTTGAGCGCCCACTCGTAGGTGTCCGTCTCCTCCAGGAGCACATTGTTGCTCCCAATGAGGGGCAGCAGGTCCTCGTGGATGACATACTTGTAGGCCAGGCTACCTCGAGGGCTAGTCTCAGCTGGGGGGAGCACCTGAGGGGAGATGGGGAGCAGGTGACACAAGACCAAGAAGCGCAGCAGGATGGGAATGCGGCCGAAGAGAAGGGTGTGGGTTAAGGACACGGATGGGGGCAGTGCCAAGTATGGCTGTGGACGGGTGAGGTGGCAGCCATATGACCAACTCCTGCTGCCCAAACTAAATACCTGCTGTGTGCCAGACCTGAGAGCAGCCAGTCGGTACCAGGCCTGTCAATGCTTTTCCCTTGCATAGACCTATGTCCTAACGAGGGCAAGACCCACGTCCCTAGGTCTTTTGTTCACTCCCTGATTTTGGAAGGTGTCAAGAAACATAGTATGGACACCAGACCCTTGTCAGATACATGATCTGCAAGTATTTTCTCCAATCCCGTGGTCTTCTACTTCTTAAAGAATGATTTGGTGCACTTTTTCCATTTTGGGTAAATCTAATTTACTCATCTCTTCTTGTGTTGCTTATGCTTTTGGTACTATATCTAAGAATCTAAGTCTTCAAGACCTACCCCTCTGTTTTCTTCTAAGAGTTCTATGGTTTCAGCTCTTATATTCAGGTCTGTCTTTTGATTTGAGTTAATATTTGTATAAGGTGTGGGGTAGGGATCCAGCTTAATTCTTTTGCATGTGAATACCTAGTTGTCTCAACACCACTTGTTGAGACTGTCTATCTCCCTTGAATGACCTTGATACCCTTGTTGAAAATCAGCTGGTCCCACATATATAGGCAGCCAATAAATATAAGATGAATAGAAAGATACATGTTGGATAGAGTTAAAATACCAACACAATAGCCACAGAACCCACCCTCTAGGACCTCCCTGACAGTTGAGGGCCTGTCCAGGGTCTCCATAGTGCCAACCAGAACTGAAGGCATGTGAACAGAGTTCTCTCAAGCTGGTCTGCTGGCTTAACCATCCCCCCTCCATCAGCCCTGGCCCAGTCCAAGGAAGGGGACGGGGGCAGAAATAGGCCCTAGGCAGGACAATGGCCCTATCCCCTTCTTAGAAGGTTGGCACTGCCAGATGACCTGGCACTCCAGGTCAGCTGCCTTAAAGGCTTGAGAAAGCCATCTTAGGACTCATGTACTGACCATGCCACGATGCATGCTGATGCTGGAGGACACGTAGTGACCTAGGGTACTACCCTGAGCCCTGCCTGATACCTGCTCCAGGGCCCATTTCCCACCCTGTGTGAAGGAGAACAGACTTCCTGCCTGCGGCCTCCTGGGTCTCACAGAGGGGACAGCCTCTGCCCTCCTCACTTGCCATGCTGCCAGCTCTTAAGCACAAATGCGGAGCTGCCCAGCGCCTTGGCCTCCTGCACACATGGGAACTGGCGGCTTCACCAGGCTGTACAGGCTTGGCAGCAGATGGCACAGGACAAGGGGTGAGCAGGGCCACTGCTGGGAATGTGGCTCACCAGGACAGCGATGGCTTCGGGCAGGGGCCCACTGGTCTTGAGGCTGTCCTTGGCATCTTCTACCTCATGCTCCCACTCCAGGCCCAGCGTGGTAAAGGTCCGGCTCAAGGCTTCCTTACTCTTGGGGTTGAGGATGAAGCTGCCGGTGACCTGGTTCTTCACCACTGGCCAGGGGAGAGAGGCACACAGATTTCTACTTCCTACTAAGGGGATTCATGAATATGACAACAAAGGCCTTCCTGGTGTGCCCTTTGGGGCTCCCCGGTCTGCCTGCCACTCCTTCCACCTGAATCCTTCCCACCAGACAGGTCCGCACACTGCCTCCTGCACCCTGGTGTCCACCATTGCTGCACACTTGTCCTGCCTCTGCACCCTGGTGTCCACCATTGCTCCCACACTCACTGCTTCCTTTCTCCCTACTTCCATCTATAGTTATAGCTCAACACAATCGCATCCGAGAAGCCTGCTTTGATTGCCCCACCCTCCGGAACACTGCCCTCCCTGGAGTTTCTATAGCAAGGCATAGAGGTGACAAGTTCAGGCTCTAGAATCACAGACATCATGGGAAGTGACCTAGGAACCCCATGCTGCCTCAGTTTTCCCAACTGTAAAATGGGGTGACAGTGTCTTTCATAGGTCATAACAAGGCTTAAATGAGATCATGCTACAGTGTGGTTTCAGTTTGGGCAGTGCCATGGCCTTCAGTGCCAAGAATGCCACCACCCTGCACTTCTGCAGAGAGTACATATTCCAACAGACACACACATACAAGCATGCATCACACACATACACACACATTCACACTCCACACATGGACAGAGGGCCCACCATGTACCTCACACAACTTGGGCCAACTCCAGCTTCCAGGTCCCAGTCACCCCTACTCTTGCTCCCTGCAGGCTGTCCATGTGGCCCCACTCTATCTGCCCCTGTCCTGGCAGCCCCTCCCTGACCACTGTGGGAAGCAGCTCTTGGCCCACAAGTAATGCTCCCCATCTACAGGGACCAAGGACCTAGACTTGCAGAGGCGGAGCAGGTGGGAGGGGCTGGCTGGAGCAGGTGGGAGGCGGAGCAGGTGGGAGGGGCTGGCTGCTAACCAGTAGGAATCATCGTCCCAAGGAGACAGCAGAAGCAGCCTCAGAGTAGTGCCTCTCCCTCCTGCCCTGATTCCAGCACAGCCCCCACAATCTGGCAGGCACAGTGGGCAGGAAGCATCTGAACTAATGTCTTACAAACTCATGTCTTACAGACTAATGTCTTACAAACACTGTAGCAGAGGGCCAGGATGGGACACAGGAGCCCTGGACCCAGGCTGTCTCGGCCCCTGACCTGCAAAGGTGAATTAGAGCACACGAGTGCCTGAATTCATGGCAGGCCTCAGTTTCCACTTGTGCCTATTGCCTGTGTGTACCATGTCCTTCCCAGTGCCTCGCTGAGCAAGTTAGGAACCAGTCATAGTTGTGCTAAGGAGAGACACCAATGCAGACATCTTATCCAGGCAAGGCACATTCTCCTGGAGGGTTATTGATAATAATCTAAAATACAACTGTTAGCATTTTTATATTTGCCAAGACAGGTCACGCTTTGTGTTAGTGTTTATGATGGGGCAGGTGCCACAGCAGTGTGACTCAGTGGGCATAATCAGTCAGTAGTGACCATGCCAAGGTGATGGTACAGCCCACATGCCTTCTGGGAGGGATCTGAACACAGATCCACATGAGAGATCCCAGCTACTGAAGAAGCAGCCTGCTGCCCACAGCCCACCAGGCCCTGCTCCAAACCATTCTCAAGGGTTTGTAATTGAGATAAAATCCACCACATACAATTCACCCTATTAAAGTGTGCAATTCAGTGATGTTTTAGTACGTTCAGCCATCATCACTATGCAATTCCAGAACATTTTCATCACCCTCAAAGAAACCCAAGACCTATTAGCCGTCACCCCACCTCCCAGCCTAACTCCTGGCACCCATGAATGTATTTTATGTCTCTGGATTTGCCTCTTCTGCCAACTTGCTTTCAGCAAAAATAGAACAATAAAAACATCTCTTGTGTCACATTAATATTCTTATAATTGGAATTTTTATTTAATTAATTTTGGGGTTATAATTTTTAACCTGTCTTGGTCCCATAGTTATTTAGCAGCATAAATCCATACCTGGATTAAGGATGCTGAGTGTAAGTAGCATTAAAATGAGGATAACTGAAGGACCTAGGTGGTGGACTAAATAAATGGGCCTCAGTTCCTCCCACTCCTACATGCTATGCTCCTTTACACGGTGACTTTACCATTTCTTCCATCAAGAGACTGGATTTCTACTGCTGTGTGTGTGTGTGTGTGTGTGTGTGTGTGTGTGTGTTTCAGCACAGGGGATTGAACCCAGGGCTTTCACTTTTGCTACATTAACAGTCTTTTTTTCTCTTGAGACAGGGTCTTGCTAAGTTGCCCAGGCTGGGCTCGAACATGAAGTCTTCCTGCCTCAGCCTCCCAGAGTATCTTGCCCATGTGATATGGGCCAAAGGAACATTATAAAAGGGTGAAAACAAAGGATGCTACTGTTGAGGAACCACATGACAGACACCAGGTGAATAACCCCTGGTTAGCCTGTTGGAGACGTGGCTCTGTCACTCTCATGCCCTGAGCTGGCAGCCAGTACTAACCCCATGCATCCTGGGCCAGCCAGATCCCAACAAACCCACCAGCTGATGACATCTATATGGGTCCACACAGCCAGCTCTTAGAACTAGCAATTATTCTAAGATACTGCATGCTGGGGTGGCGAGTCATGCAGCAACAACTGACCCACGCACTCCGTGACAATGACTTTCCTTTAAAAGCATCGCAGTGCATGAGAAATCTGAACAGTGGTTGCCCATAGGGAAGAAACTGCCCTGAGGGACAAGGTGGGGGGTGTTCACTAGATCTCCTTTTAGGTGTCCTAAAGTGAGAATCACCCATGCAGTATAAATTTAAGAATAAGAAGGGCTCTCTGTCTGTGATTTAAGCCTGTGAAACTCCACTTGCCCTGGAACCCTGCCCTGGGCTGTCCCAGCACCCCAAACTTCAGGGCACCCACACTCACCAATGCGGTGGGGGGCCTTCTCCAGGGTCTCAATCTGGATGTGTCTGGCACCCGCTGGTATCTGCACCAATTTGAGAGCTGCTGCCACACAGGAGGACACGGATCAGCAAGGAATGTCCTGAGCAGGGGGCCCCTGCCCAGCACCCCTTACTCAGGACCCAGGGACATCTCATCAGGCACAGAAGCTCTGTCTGTAACTGGGGATGGAACACTACAAGGCCCACAGAACACACACGTGTGTGTCACTCTGGTTCCCCACCTTCCTGACCTTTCTCTCACTTCTGCTCCTTCCCCTCCTTCTTGTTGCTCTGACTTTCTCTCTCCCTCTTTCTTGTCACACTTTAGCTACTGGAGGGACTTAGATACAAAGGGCCACAAGGATCCCGTCTTTCTGAGTCACCAGCCCTACAATGAGACAGGCTCCAGGGTCCCTCAAGCCCTGCCAGAACCATGGCCTGGATCAAGGGGAGAGGCCACGCGAGGGTCACCTAGCCCAAGCCTGCTCACCTGCCTGCTTGGAGGCTTTGCCCAGCGTCCCCTTCACGGTCCTGCAGTGGGAGTTGTCACCGCCACAGACTCCACATTTGTCATCTGCCTTCATGGACCCCATCTCCTTGTCACAGCCGAAGGGCTGAGGCACAGGTGAGGTGACTGGGAGGAGCACCCCACCCAGGCTCTCTTCCTAGTCCCCAGGCCCTGCCTAGAGAGGAACCCTGGCCCAAAAGTCCTCCCAAGACGAGACCCTCCCCCAGATTGACCATACAACCGACCTAAACCTGGCCTGGTGTCGATTCCTGCTGTGTCCTCTCCTGAGAATGAGGCTGGGCAGTAAGTGACCCCTTCCCAGCACCCTAGGGCTGTACAGAGGACTCAGGAGCTTCCTGAGTGCGGCAGATGTGGCCACACTATCTTCTATGGAAAATGAGGACGGCACCATGGAACGTCCCCCGGATGGCACCCACCACACACTCGCCACGGGCACAGACGCTGTATGGGTCCCGGTAGCTGCAGCGTGTCCCGTCGTGGACCACCTGGTTCATGTACACCACCTCACCCGTGTCCACCGACTGGCAGATCAGCTCACACTTCTGGGCATCTGTGGGCAGAGGGACCACGATGAGCCCCAGCTAGGCTGGCAGACAGCAGGAGGCCCAGACGACAGTGGTGCACAGCCCAGCTAAGAAGCTCTGGGGTCAGCTTGGGACTGAAGACCCCTGGTGAGGCACTTACTGATTAGGTGTGTGACCCAGGTATTCTCTATTATCATTATGCCTGATCAGAAGAATGCCACACTATTTGATTACTGAGAAAAATCAAGTGACAAAATAGTAATAATCATAGTAAGCCAATACTCAGTGCTACTGTGTACTGGCCCTTTCCAAAGCCTTCACACACCCTTGATGTGTGACTCTAAACCTTCTCATGAATTAGCTCTTGTAACCCTCTCAGCACCTCAGTGAGGCAAATTCTAGCATGACAGAGGAGAAAACCGAGGACCGACCGGAAGTTCAACAACTTGCTCTTGGCCATGCAGTGAGCAGTTCAGCAGAATTCTAACCTGGCAGTCCAGTTTGAGTAGCAGACCTCTACCACACTTCACCGGGCACACCCAGAGTAGCTTGATGGTGCATCTGAACATGTTCACACACATCAGATGGCAGTGTGAAAGTGAGGCAGACTGCTGGCCTGCGTTTGGGTTGTGAATGAAGCTGCAGTAAGGCAGGGGGAAAAGGTCCCTCCCTGTTATGACAGTGAAGTTTTCTCCTATCTGGGCTGCTGATGTCCTAAAAAGGAGATCCCAGAGAATATGTAAACACTCACTGTGCTTCTTAAATGACGCAGAGCTGGCTCTTAGCTGACTTCCTGGGATTTATCTATAAGTCCTGGGAAAACCCCGAAGTCCAGCTGCCTGCTGGGCCTCCCTGCTCCCTCCCCACACCACAGCTGCTTGTTCAGGTTCTGATGGGACCGGAAGGCTTCCAAAGTAAGCCCTTCCTGCAGCACATTCCTAAGGAACTTAGCTGTTCCTGCGCCTGGTCCCTGACCTCAAAGGACACCTGGTGACTTCTTGCCTCCAGCACACAGGATTACAGGCTGCAGCTACAATGTCCAAGATGGCCTTGGATTTCATGCACAGGAGCCAGATTCCCTGTGGGACCTGGGCCTGGGGGCTCCAATAGTCTGGAGGTCCAATACTCTGACCAGCACACCTAGACAGGCAGCAGTAAGGGAGTGGTGAGCTTCTCAGAACGGGACAAGCTCAAGCAGAAGCAAGAACACTCCTGGCAAGGGTGCCCGGAGGAATCTGTAATGACATCCAGCCTGAGGATGCTGGCATTCTAAACACGAGCCAGGGAGTGCCCTTTCTGATGCCTTGATATCCCTTCACCTTCGCTGGTGGGAGCACAGGAAGTCGCCTCACATAGCCTCACTGGGTGCCCAAGACATGGCGGGGGCACTCACCATCATTTGGCTCATAGGGGACCCAGCTGTGCTTGGCATTCTGGTGGATGTAGTAGGAGTTGCGCTTGGCACACTGCTGGGCCCGGAAGTCCTCGTAGGGCCCAGGACAGTCCTCGCTGTTGCAGATCTGGTACTCGAACAAGGGTCCTGAACATGAGCGGCCTCCATAGGCTGGGCTGGGTTGGCACAGAGAGACCTGGTGACCTGGCTAGCCAGGAAGGCCAAGGGCTGGGCGGGTGCTGGGGCAGTGTCACAGAGCTCCATCAACTCATGAGCTACAGAGGGACCCGAAGTGTGGCTGCTGAGGTCACGGTCTCCAGCTTCCCTCCTCCCCGATTGTTCCACCTTCAGATAGACACCACTTTTCCCCCTGTGTGTATGGGTGGCTGGGACAGACAGACAGACAGACAGACAGACATGGGGAATGGCCAACTGTCTCCAACAGGGCTGGAAGTCAGTCTTACCCATCTGATTACTCCTTCAACTGACACAGAGTCTGGCACGCAGTGGGCACTTAACAAAAGACTCAAGTACTCCTCTTTGCATCCACTCCCATTCAATATCCTAATAAACTAAAGAGTGGTCAAAGAGACTTGGATTTGGAATCAGAATGTGGGGTATCCAAATCCTGGCTGTGCTACGTCTTAATTTCTCCTTCGAAAATCCAGACCATAACGCCTCTTATTTTACCTACTCCTGGTGCATCTTGAAGAACGATAAGAAAGGGTGTTGTAAAGCAATCTGTGCTCTTTTCTCTGTTAAGCCAAGAGCACTGGGTGAGAGTCTGAAGTATTCAAGTGCCAATTGTTGCAAAGCTTCCAAGGATAATAGCTGCTGCTGGCAGATGCTGTGAGACTCACGCAGGTTTACACACCTAAGTGCTTAGCATCCTGCTGGCTCTGACCAAGAACTTACACTTTGTAAAACTAACAATTACAACAGCAGCTGTCATCTCTTACGTGTTCCACCTGCTCTGGACATGGTGCCTAGGGCACACATATTATTTCATTTAAGCCTCATAAAATAAAACAGTTATTATTACAGGGAAGCTCAATCACAGCTTTGATCAAGGGTATAACTGTCAGACTTGACTACAAGGTGGTTCAGCAAAGTGAGTGCTGCTATGGATTCCTATCACCTTGACTTTTGTCCCTTCAACAAATGAAACTCACAAGGCAGACTATTTGGCTCCCAGGTGTAGCGGGCCACTCTATCTGCCTAGCCACGGAACAGGCTGCTTCTGCAGGTGCTGAGCTCCTTATCTCTGCAGAGTATGTATGGCTACTACTTCTGAGGATGCGAGAGCCGCCGCGGTCCTGTGACTGCCATTCCATAGTATTCATCATTCTACCCTACGCCAAGAGGGGCTGGGCCAGTCTGCCATCCTAAGCCAGCTCCTTCTGCTGGGGCTCACAAGTTCCAAAGCCATGGCCTAGGGGAGGGGATCCTACATAGGGGATGAGGAGGGACCAATAAACATCATGCCAGAATGCTGGCATTCGTGTGAGGGCTGAGGAGCTTTGATGTTAGAAAGAGGTAAGTTAAGAAAACTGAAGGAGGGGCTGGGGATTTAGCTCAGTGGCACAGCGCCTGCCTGGCAAGCATGAGGTTGTGAGTTCAATTCCCGGTATCGGAAAAAAAAAAAAGAAAACCAAAGGAAGTTTTGCCTCATGCAGTGGAAGATAAAATTAGGGATCGTGTTTAGCACATGTTGATCAGTGTTTACTCAAAGCTTAGCTGGAGGACTCAGGTCATGGGAGGGCTGGTTTAACTGGCGGTCTTAGCCCACCCAGGTTCTGGGCATCTGCACATGAACAATTGGGTATCACTAGTTCAGACGCATACACAGAAGTCAGAATCCCACCCAGCAAATGCAGGTGGCGTGATCAGACCCACCCCAGTTTTGGGTCCTTACCAACAGAGTATATGACATTTGGGGGACATCTGCTCCCTCACCCTGTCTCCCTCTGCCTCCCTTTCCATGTCCTTCCACCCTAGAGAGGGGTCCCCTGCCTTGCCTACCCCAGGGAAGCACACTCACGGGGGGTTGTCACAGCTCCGACTGCGGGATCGCACTCCACCTCCGCATGACCGGGAACACGACCCAAACTTGGACCAGGGGCTCCAGCCTCCATCCTGGCCATATGTCTGCTCCGGTGACTTCCAGATGCAGTGACCTTTGAAACACCACTAGGGTAGAGCAGAGGGCATGAGGTCACCCGGGGCCACTGCAGGGGAGCCTGCCATGGAGGCTTCCCAAGCAGGCACACAGCGAAGCTGGTGGACCCCACAGGGGGCCCGGAGAAAGAGATGCTAAGAGAAAGCCTGGTGCCAGACAAAGTCCTACCCCTGCCAAGAGCTGAGCAACCTCAGACCAGGGGCTCAACTTCCTGAGCCCCCTCAAGGTACAGTATAGGTAGCTGTACCCACCCATAGTATTCGATGCCTGGCACATGCAGCCCTCGACAGGCAGATATTATTCAATGAGATTAATAATGATAATAAATGTGCAATGATTTCATTCATCACCCCAGGAGAACTAAAGGCACAATCTTCTCGAGCTGGAGTGGAATCTCTAGAGGTAAGGGCTTTAGAAAACTATAAGCTGCCATAAAGTCCTTCATTTCAAGTGTATAATTCAATGGTTTTTTTAAATATAAATCCACAGAGTTGTGCAACCTTCACCACAATCCAATTTTAGAGCATTTTCACCACCCCCAAAGGATCACCTCTGGTCATCTGTAGTCACTACCTGCTCCAGGTTGGGGGTTTTTAAAGCTCCCCAGAAACTTGAACACACAGCCACAATTGAGAACCTGACTAACTGTGTGTGCAAAACTGACTGGGGGACACCCGGTGCTCTAAAAATACCCAGGAAAACATCAGAAGTGGACAGACCTGGAAGAGGACCTACAAGGTTTGGAGCCCACTGGGCTGCCCAGGGCCACAGGAAGCCCCACCCATCTGTGAGGCACAAATCAGGAGATGCGCAGCAGGGCAGAGGCCATGTGGCAGAGGGCAGAGGGCAGGCACTCCATGCTGGGCTCACAGCTGAGGCTGAGCAAAATCCCCGCCTCCCACTTTCTCTCTCCCTTCCTCTCTCTTTTGGTAAAGTACTTGGGACTGAACCCAAGACCTCTGCACTGAGCTACATCCCCAGTCCTTTGTTGTTTTTTATTTTTGAGACAGGGTCTCACTAAGTTGTCCAGGCTGGGCTGGAACTTGAGATCTTCCTGCCTCAGCCTCCCAGGGCGCTGAGATTGCAGGCCTGCACCACTACACTTGGCTGTAAAAACCTCTTAACATCTTGCTTCTTCCCAGCTCTCTCACTTGTTCTGCTGTGATCCAGTCACTTCAGAACCACCGGGAGGGGTGGGGAGGATGCCTGGTCAGAGGGAAATTGGGTTGGTGGCACTGGAGAAGTTAAAAAAAAATGGCTCAAGGTCACCACACAGTGGCCAAGGACGGGGCTCAGCTCAGGAACCAGACACAAGACCCCTGAAAATATAGCCCTGGCACCCGCCATGGGCAAGAGAGAAAACAGACCAGGAAACACTTGAAGGGCTGCAGGGGGGGTAGGGGGATGCAACAGCCCGGGGACAGCATCATGGGGCAGGGGGGCAGGCAGGACACCCAGAGTCTTCCCTTCATCTCTTGTCTCCTAATTGCTCCTGTGTGGTCCGGACAAGTTCTGTAACCTCTTCTGTAACATGGGAGTCACCGTTCCTGCCACATGGGCTCTGGGATCACACAAAACTTGGCTGATCGCAGAGGCAAAGGCCATGGCACAGAATGGAAGGGATTGTGAGGTCCTGGGCACATCAGTCTCACACCAGGCCCGTACCTGTATTTTTGCACTGCCCCCCTTCACATACATACACGCAGACAGGCCCCCAGGACCCTGCGGATGCCCCCACAGCCCAGGACAGCACCTCCACTGCAGATCCTGCTGGTACCTTGCCTGGTTCACACTCAGTTCCGTCCAGCGGGGGCCCCTTCTTGGTCTTGCAGAAGTACGGGTTGTCGGGGTGGCTGCACCACAGCTGCTTGCAGGGCTCAAAGGTCCTGAACTGGTGGCAAGGGGAGGGAGTCATGGGCTGGACTCTCCAGCTCTGAGCAGCTGTCCAGGGGGCAAAGGGCAGTGACAGAGGGGAGAGGGTGGCAGATGCTGAGGCCCAGGGCTCCGAGAAAGCCAGAACCCCACACATCCACAAGCTCAACCCTACCCCAACCCTACGCAGTGGTTCTCAGGGCCCTCCTCCCTGATCAGGGGCCTGAGACAAGGCCAGCACAGCCCACAGGCCCTTTGTCCCCTCTCTCCCGGCCCCCCTCCCTACCTCAGCAGAAGCCACTTTGTCATGAGCTGGGGCCAGGGTTTGAGGCTCTGGGGAGGTCTGGCCCATGATGCTTCAAATCCCTAAGCACATGGGGAGGCCGGGAAAGGAGCCAGAAGAGTTTAAAACCCCCCATCTCCCTCTGACATGGACACTCAGTGAGGCCAGAGGCTGGTCCTGTGTGTATTGGCCTCTCCAGGAAAGCCCCAGTTTCCTTAAATCCTCTTGCAGCAACCTCTGCCCGCCAGACAAGCATCTGCCAATGCTACATTTGGGCACTAGAACCCCAGTCCTTGTTCTTCCGGAGAAAAGCAGTGCTTTGTCAGACTACATGTCCCAGTTGGCTTGGAGAGCAGGGAAGGTGACCGCACACGGGCGCTTCTCATGATACCAAACAGGGCTTCCAAGGAGGGAAGAGGGAGGTATAAGGCATTCCCTCAGTGGGGGGTATAAGGCATTTGGATCATGAAGGCCTGCCCCATCAGGAAGCCTCCTACCCTGAGATGTCCCCTCTCTGAGCCTCAGCCTGGCCCCACAGTGGCACTGCTTGGTTCTGCTGAGCTCCGAGCTCAAGGGTATTCCCCGCCCTGTCCTGCAGGGAAGAGACAGGTAGAGTCACGTGTATCTACAGCCTCAGGCATGCGGATGGGGACACAGATGTGAGCTCCTCACTCCGAGAGGTGATGTGCACGAGTGGGGTGTTAGACCATAATGTTTCCCAACTCTCCTAAGGGTGGGAACTCTGGTGGGCCCAGCTCCTGGTCTGACAACCCAATAGCCTCACAGGTAAACTCCCCAGGGGATGGGCCTGGCAGGATCCCACCGGCTGCCCTGTGCTCCCTGAGCTACTCATCCCATCTCCCCCAGAGCAAACCCATGTTCAAGTCTCTGCACACAGCTGCCCACGGTGTTTTCCCTGTACCTTCCCCCACCATGCTGGCTCCAAGCCTGTGGACTCATCCCCAGAGCCACTGGCTGGCCAGGTGGAAAGTACCTCATAAGTGACTAGCCTGGTTCACAGGAGGACAGGGACCTTGTGTCCTAGCTTGTCAGAGCCCAGGGACACTCACTGCCAAGCAGGTCTGGTATCCAGAGCCGAAGTCAAAGCGGCATTGCTCATCCATCGAGTAGTCAATCCCAGGCAGCTCTGGGGGCTGGGGCCAGGCAGGATCAAAGGGGTCATCTAGGAGGCAGTCGTAGGACCTGCAGTGGAGACGGAAGTGAGCCCGCCTGATGAGAGGGAGTCCCACATACTCCTTCACCAGGGGTTGGGGCCTTCCACGTGCAAGGAACCTGTACCCACTGCCCTGAGCAGGGGCGTTTCTTCCGGGGAGGACAGGCTGCCTGAGTGTCCTCCTCACTCAGGACTTGGTTTCCACCAGTGACAGGGAGGGCTCCATTTGCAGCTAGGGGCAGGGACTAGGGTTAGCAGCTCAGTTTGTGGACTGTTTATAGGTCAGTTTTGGTCACATTAAAAGAAAGCACTCTTAGCCAAGACTAAGAGTTGATTCATGACAAGTTCAGGACTCATTCTGCCCCAAGGGAAGAGGCAAAGCCAACTGATATCACAGGGTACACTAGGCAGGTCAGAAAGTCCATCTCTCTTCCACCTGCCCCACCCAGACCCATTCTGCCCATTCCCAGGCCTCGGGCTCCTGAATCTAACACTTGTCCTGCACCCAACATGCTCTCCGTGCCATACCACTTCTCTGGGGCCCTGGGGGCACTGAGATACCCAAGCCCCAGCCTGGTGACTACTAGCCATCAGCAGGAGTACTGCCTGCAGTGCTGGATGAATGCAGCTGCTCAGGCCCAACCTCCAGCAGATTCTTAAGAGCATCTTGAGTGGGGCCAAGAAATCTGGGGTGTTAGCAGGAAATCTATGCAAATGGCCACCTGAGCACACTGGGACTAACCCACCTGTGATGTTACCGGGCGTGTTCTAGGCCAGGTGGTGGGAGTGTGGGCTGGAAAAAACATGTGAGTCAAGCGAGGTTGGGTGATGACTTGAGGGTGACAGCCAACTGCACCACCTCTGCTCAGACTGCTTGCTCCCTTGTCCCTGGCCAAGGTTGGAGGTGACTTACGGGAGGTAGCGGCTGAGCTCCAGCTTGCTGCAGCGGGACCAGTGGAAGCGGTGGAAGGCAGCCTGCACCAGGGGCGCCATGACACTGCCCAGGCTGGTCTCGTCTGCGCAGCCATTCCCCTGCCCATCGTGTTCCATGCCAAGCCTGGGAGGCGGGGTAGGTGGGGGACAGAGGGGAGTCGCGAGTCATTTACGGAGTCTGCCCTGGGAAGGCAGGCAGGCAGATCTGAAGTGGGAGACCCTGCTCCCCACCTCAATCAGGAATTCAGATTCAGTCTCTTGCATGCAGCCCTTCTGTGTGCCAGACCCTGGGAACCCCACACAGAGCTCGGCATGGGACAAGCAACGACCCCAATGAGAGCCTATATTCAAAATGTGCTCTTTACAGCTAGCATGTAATGCCAAAGCCCAATGGTCCTAATTCTTAAAAATTCCCAAGTGGCTACACCTGGCCTTGACCCTTAGGCAGATGCAGAGGCCTTGGAGCTTGACCTTCTCTCTGCACAGGAAGGGACCTCTGTTCTGGGAAGAGACTATGTCCTGCAAACTTCTAGCTCCAGCAATTCCCACAGCAGGGAAGGAACCCAAAAATTTCCCTGGGGTCTGCCTCCATGTCCATCACCAAGGGGAACCTGAGGCACAGGGAGAGGAGCCACCACTGCTCCTTTGGTGTCCCTCAGCCCCACCCCTGTACAGACAGGGCCTTTGGGAGGCGTCTCTCTCCTGACTTCTGCCTCAGACCCATTCCTAGAGCAGAGTATGGCACACGATAGGTGCTCAAGAACTGTGGCTGAACAAGTGAATGTGCTGTAAACAACCTCCTGGCCACAGAGCCTGCCCGCCAGCCTCACCAGGCCTGCTGCCAGGGCTCAGAGTGAGCCTGTTTACCATGGGCTGGGGCCAGCTCCTCCATAGGCGCAGAGCACCAGCGTGAGCTGGATGAGGTCTCAGAAGGGCCTCAGGGCAGAGGGAAGCCAGGAATAAAGACCACCCAGGCAGTAGGCCCTGCCTGTGACAGGGACACTGTTCCTGACCTGCCCAAAGCCAGGGCCCCATCTGATCTTCATGGGGCAGACCCAGAACTGCCAAGGGCTCCTTGGACATCTCCTCCGCAGGTAAGACCTCCATCAACCCGCAGATCTGAGACACCAGGCCTCAGTGGCAGCAAGCTCTGCTGGCCTCTCCTGAGATACTGGGACCAGAACCTGATTTGGGCAACACCTTTCACCCCAGCACTCCTCAGAGGTCATGGCACAGCCCATGGCCACAGAGCCACTGGCCCTGCCCACCCTCCTAATGCCACTTACACATGGCCAGTCTCGTGGGCCACCACAAAAGCCGAGGAGAAGCCATCCTCATGGTTGAGGGCACAGCTTCTCAGGGGGTGACACATGCCAGTGACAGGCGCGTACCCTGCCAGGGAGAGAGAGAGAAGGAGAGACGGGGAGGTCACAGACAGGTCAGGTGGGACATGCTGAGGTCTGAGCCCAGCCCAGCCACTGCAGGTACACCCTGACCCAGTCAGTGCTGGAAGCCCTTGGAGGAAATGATGCTCACAAAGTCCTACCCATGCACAGCAACCCTGGGCCTAGCTGCCGCTGTGTCCCAGGGTTTCATCCCTCATGGCCTACAGCTTCCCTCACTCTTTTGGCCACTCCTCCAAACAAGTAGTGGAATTTCCCAGCAGGATACAGGCCTGTGCACATTCTCCTTCCACACCATCTTCCTCCTGTCTTATAGTCAGCCAGTCAGTCAGTCAACAAACAAGTTCGGAATGCTTTCTAGGTGGAGGTAACGGGTGACACCGTGCTGACTACTATGGGGAGCCAGGCACAGCGGCTGCACCTCTAACCCCAGCTTCTCAGAACACTGAGGCAAGAGTCTGTTTGAGTCTGAGAGTTTGAGACCAGTTGGGACAACATAGAGAGGGACTATCTCACAAACAACAAGGAAGGAAAGGAAAGGGGAAAGGGAAAAGGAAATGGAAATGGAAAAAGAAAAAGAAAAACGGGGAGGAATCAGTCCCATGCTTCTACCTCCACTCCATGAAGCATACCCTCAGCATGGCGTTAAGGAAGTCCAATTTGGCAGGGAGATCGGGTGATCAGATTAGGGGTGGGCCTGAGGGGCCAGATTCAGGAAGCAAAGTGGGGCAGGGGTGACCCGTAAGCAGGGAAAGGAAATGGCATCGGCTGGTGAGACCTAGGGGCACAGGGAATTACTCATGAAGTGGCAGAGATGGGCCTTGAGGACAGGTGAAAAGACTCCAGAGGTAGAGACACCGGCAAAGGTGCAGATGGCCACACAGACACTGAGGCAGGGCAGCAGGGCAGCAGAGCAGCACTCTCTCTGGCAACATACACCGCTGTGTGCAAGGCCCATGCCTCAGGGTCTCCTCCTCAGACCCACCCAGGGCTAAGGTGGGGCTCAGCAGTGGACTGTGTGCTTAAGGTGCTTCAGGTCCTGGATTCAATCCCCAGCACCAAGAATGTGACACACACACACATACACCCAGCCACACACATACCTGACCCAGGTACAGTCTAGGCCAGACTGAGCTGGGGAAGGCTGCAAGGAGGAGGGGTGCTGGCAGAAAGTGCTCCCTCCCTGGACCTACAGTTAACCAGAGGGAGCTTTCCCTGTTGCAGAGTGCTACTGAAGTGGTCTTGCACTTCATATGGTTTGGAGGTCTGGGACTTGCTGCCTATGCCACGTCATCCTTGCACAAGTGTGCATGTGTCTGTGTGTCTATGTGTGCCCATGTGCCTGCTGAGCATCTGTGCACATGGCTATACATGCACGTACAGTGTCCGTGTGTGGTGTGTGCACATGTCTCTGTGTATGTGTGTGTGTCTGTGTCTGAGTGTATATGTGTGTGTCTGCAAACCATGTTTGGAGCTTCATTGGTTCAGACAAGAAGCCCTTGGCATGGGCAGGGCTGGCTGATTGATTTCTAGCATTAATAAAAATAGCCCTCAACGTGGTGTCTGGAGAGCCAGTTTGGTCTCAGAGCTGTGTGCTGTGGGGCACAGGCGAGCCTCTTCACCGCACTCTGCTGCAGTTTCCCCCTATGAAGAGCTGGGGGGATCAAAACTGCACATGTTTCCAGATGCTCTCAGTCATCTATACTCTGTCAGTGAACATCTCACGCTCCCCTTGAGCCTCTGCTCAGCATAGTATGGAGGAAGGCAAAGACTATGACTGTGCCTTCATCAGAGAACTGGGAGAATTCGGGTGTTGACCTGATCTTGGGTCCCTGAGCTGGGCTACCAAGGCATGGGGCAGGGCAGGGACTTTTCCAGAGCCCACAGAACCATCCCGAAGTACCCACAGTGTGCGATAAGGACATAGGACATGGTGTGGGCAATAGGATCTTGAGGTTCACTGGGGGTTCTTCAAGCAGCCACCCTCTGAGCAGCTGGGACATCAATTACAGGGCCCCAAACCTGGCTACTCACAACCATCTGCAGGCTGGACCAAGACAGCATGCACTTGAGTAAAGACCCTTTCACTTGCCGTGGTCTCCAAGAAACCATTCCGAAGCTCACCCACCTATCCTTGCAGGTCCTGTCCCTTCCAACCTCTTTGGGGAGAGCCCTCCAGAGAGCCCATACTTCTCTAGGCCCAGCCTGAATCCCCAGCTGTGCCCTGCAGGCTGCGCACACCTGGCCACAGCAAATACAGTACCTTGCATACCTGAGGGCCCAAAGTTCTGCCGCGTGAGGAAGACAACGTGGTCGTGGTGCTCAGCATGGCCGGGGTCCTGGCGCTGCTGGGAGTGCGCCCAGCGACACACCTGTTCCAGGCTGCGTGCAGGGTTCCCTCGTTCGATCAGGCTCAGAGACTGCAAGGCCGGGAGAGTGGCAAGAGGGAACGGTCAAGAGCCCAGAGTAGCACAGCAGCTGTCCTCCCACCCGCAGCCCCAGGGAACCACAGTGCCCGCCCACACAGCCTTCCCTGCTTTGGACACTGCCTTGGACACAAGCTACTGTATTTCCAATCCCCTCAACTAACCTGCAAGATGGCACTGCTCTGAGTATTTTCCCATACTTTACATTCACCACCCAATCAAATCTTCACAGCTTAGATGTAAGTTGGGTTGTTACACCCCCATTTAGGGAGTAAGCAACCCCTTCTAAGATTGCAGAGCCAGGCTCAATATGACATGACTTATCTTAGTCACTGTCCCCCTGGAAACCCATTTTCCTTATTGATTCCTCAGGGAACAGTGGCTACACTGTATAAAAGGATACAGGACTGTCATCTTCCTCTACCAAAGAATCCATGACTTCCTGTGTCCTATCTCCAATGCATCCACCCTGAGCTTTAGATCTAATGGGCTCAGGGTTCTGATTTTTGGGGTTGAAGCCTCCTGGGCACTTGTCCCTCTGGCCACACCATAGCTGGTCTCATATCATGGCTTCATGGCTCTTGTTCCTCCAAACCCTTCCTGCTGACCAATCAGCAAGGGCTCACCTGCCGGTAGCCGACCATAATCAAGCGGACAAGGGCAATGTTCATGTGCGCACCCAGAGACTCATCATGGTAAATCTCATCCACCTGCAGGGGGACACATTTTAAGGGGATACACACATTCACCAAAGGCCAGCTTCTGAGCTAGATGGCTAACATACAGCACATTTCACCCCATCATGTCTGAATCAAGCAGGCATTCTTATCCCTACTTTGCAGATGTGGAAACTGAGGCTGAGAGAGGTGAAATGATTTGCCAGGGACATGGACATAACAAGCTTCAAAGCTAGGCTTCAAATCATGGATCGCTGAATCCCCACCTAAGCTTTTTCCATGAAGTCAAAGTCTTGGGGTGGAGTGGGGGTCACCTGCCTCAGGGGACCTTGGTTCAATCTTCTGGTCCTAACATCTTGTGTACTTTTCCAATTACCACTGCAATCTCACCTGCTCCTATAGTGCCTGGGCACTAGGGAGGCCACACAGGGCCCTCCTTCAGCTGGAAGTGCTCCAGGGCCTCGGACCAGCAGCAGCATTGCCCTGTAGCCTTTTAGAATGCAGAGTCTCGGGCTCCACCCAGACCTCCCAAGTCAGGATCTGCATCTGAACAGGCTCCTAGCTGTTGCTGAAGAGTGGTCAAGCTCCTCTCACAGACCCGGGGACCTGAGGGCAGAACCTCACACCATTCATCAAAGGATTGGGTCCGAGCCACTCCGCTGGCCACGAAGCACTGGACAGCATCCACCAGAGACACACACTCAGCCTCTGATCATTTGCCCTCAAGGACAGGGAGCTCACCCTCTCCTCAGGATACCTGTGTCCTAAACTGTCCCAGCAGTCACTCCAGTTTTTGTTTTTAATAACTCTTAAAAAATAAAAAACATTTCACTGTAAAAAATTTTAAATACCCCCTAAAAAGAAAACTAAAACATTTACATTTCTATTAGCCAAGTATACAATCACCACCATTAACAAGTTTCCTGCCACATGTGCATGTGTGTGTGCACATGTGCACGTGTGTTATTTTATAACACTGAAGTCACACGGAATAAGCTTGCATTTCACTTGTTTCATGAAACATATTCTGTATCGTGAACAGTGTGATCTTTGAGATCTGCAAGGGATATGCCATCCCTCCTATAACCAGTCCCTGAGATTTCTCTCTGAGGGACTCAGAGAAGTGACTTGCTCAGCCTGTCAGGGTAAGGACAGAGCAGTGATGATGCAGCTCCTGGGAGACCTAAGTTCAAATCCCAGCCCTGCTCTTCATGAGCTGTCCGACCTGGAGCACAGCAGAGAACCCTATGAGGCTGTTTCTTTTTCTGCAGAGTGGGTGTAATTATGGCTGTCACTAGGAGCTATGTGTAAACGTCTGGGAACCACGAGCAAGCTGCACAAGCCTGCAGGCGCAGCAGCAGTCAGTCAGTGATGGGGCAGAAGCAGAGCTCAGCCTCCAGTTCTGACTCCTGCCCACTGGCCTCCTAGGGGCTCGCATGGGCCTGCATGCCTGCTCTTGTTCTCCCCATGCCCTCCGCCATCATTTCTTTTCCACTCGTAATCAAAGCCACGAACCTCCAACCCACCAAGGAACTGCTGTCCACCAAATGGAGAGGACGGCACTTCCAACCACATGTGCGAGAGTCCCCCACAGAGGGTCAGGCGGGCAGGGGAACTGGAGACCCACACCGTGCCCACATGCCCCTCCTGGGCCAGCCGAGGAGCCAGGCTGTGTGGCAGCAAAAGCCACAGGCACCACACAGAGCCCAGCCCACTTGTCCTAGTGCCCAGAATTGGCAGCTACCCCCAGGTCCTGGACGTGCAGACTTCTGAGCAGCCAGCATCAGGCTTCTGCCATGGACCTTCCTAGAGCCCAGGTCTGGGTCCAAGTGAGTGGGAGACTGCTGATGAGCACCCAATGTGGGCAGGCAATGCCAATTCTCACAGGGCATGATGGGCAGGCTCCCTCCTTCCTCCCCAGCAGGACAAAGGCTTCCTGGGAACGAAGGGCTCCAGTGTGGAGAGGTGCTGCCCTCTTCAACCTGCGTGCCCCACCCTTATCCTAAGAGGCCTTCAATGCCGGCACGCAGCCTTCCTTCCACGCTGGGTATGGTCAGTGCCAGGGACTCCCTGGTGTGCTCTGCAAGCAGACCATGGCGGGTTCACAGGCATGGTGCACTCTACACTGCCACGTCCGTGCCCCACATATGCACACGCAAACCCACAGCTTGTCCCCAGAGAGGAGGAGTCACGGACATTGGGTGGGGGCTTTGGAAATGCCTTGGGGCTGTGCCTTCCTCACACCTCCCTCCCTCTAGCCGGCTGGAACATGCACACAAGCACCAGAACCCTGCCATCTGAAGGTCAGCCCTCACTATCTACATCTCTGTATCTGTGCGTACAACCAACTTTGGATTGAAAATCTTTCATTAGAAAATATATTAAATACACATAGGGTTTTGCTTGCCATTTTTGCTTAAGCAATATGGTATAACAACTGCTTGCAAAGCATTTACACTGTATTAGGCATTATAAGTAAGCTTGAAATGATTTAAAGTTTACAGGAAGAGTAGACAAGTTAAATAGGGGCCTTGCGTGTCTGCAGATTTTGGTATCCACAGGGTCTTAGACTCAGTCTCCCATGAATACAGAGGGATGATTGTAGCCATGTCCGTCCCTCACTCAGCAGGCCTTGGGTGACCCTTGCTCTGATGGCTGCCATCCAGTGGCATAGGACACTGGTTAGTGGGGTTGGCCGAGTCTTCCTCTGGGACTCTCGTCTGCACATAACCCTACCAGCCCCAGCCTGTGAGCAGGGACCTTGGTGGCTCTGATTCAGCTGGAACAGCCTTGAGGCTTTTCACAGGCCAAGGAAGTGGCAGGACAGGGTTTCTGCTGGCCAGAACTGTAGGGCCCTCCTGGCACCCAGGGCCGCAGCCAGGAGGTGTGGCTAGCAGGAAGCCTGGGGCCAGCCCCTCTGGAACACACCCACAGGAAGGCTTTGACAGGCTCCAATCTGGTTGTGTGTCTAGGGCCAGGCTCTGTCAGCCCACATCTCCCATGGATGCCTCCCAAATGCCAGAGGGGAGGCTAGGAGCCAGCACAGAGGGGTCAGGAACTGCCCTCCGTGCCTGAGCATGAGGAAGGATGGCCACAGAGCACACTCAGAGCGCAGAGAGAACAGCACGTCTGGTTTCCTTGCTTTGCACCTCTGAGCCAAGTTCAAGGTCACCTCTGCTAGGAAGCCCAGGTTAGCACTTGACAGCACATATGGGCCTGAGATAGCCATTGGGAGTGCAGCAGAAAAACAAGCGAAGGTAAGGAGTTTGGCCAAAGAGAGGGGAAGAGGGTGGGCTGAGAGTTGAGGGTGCAGGGACCAGCTGCTGCTCCTTGAATGCTTCCAGTGTGCCAGGCACTGTGCTGAGGGCTTTGCATACAACCTCCAGATCACCTCATGGAGAGAATTATTCCCATCTCATAGACGAGAAATCAGGTTCAGAGGGGTTAAGTGATTTTCCCAAGGTCCCCAGTTTGGAAGTAGGAAGGTGAGGCTTTGGCCTCTGTTTATACTGAGCTGTTGTTCAGAACCAGTTTCTGGCCCAAAGTGGCCGGGGTGGACTTTCTGTGATCTAGGACAGAAGATGAAGAGAGGTCCCAGCTCAGAAAAGGCAGGCAGGACCTTGCCCTGGACCCACAGCCTGCCTCAGCTGCCTGTGGCCTCAGCAGGAAGCAGACAGAAACTGAGCTCCCGGGCCTGGGGCTGCAGGGAGTCCTGACCCTGAACTCCCACCCAGCCCCAACAGCACACCGTGCTCTTCGAGCACCATCTCCTTGTCCTCACTTTAGAACTGGTGCTCCCCAGTAAGGGCGGGGACATGGAAAGATCCTCACCCTCAAGTGAACCTTATGCTCTGTGGGTGGCCCACGGAGGGGCAAAGGTGGAGAGAAGATGTTTTCAAAGTCTGGGATGGGGTGAGAAAGGCAGGGACTACCCAGAGGCCGGGGGCAAGGAAGCAGAAGAAAGGCTGGACCCTGATGCCTCTGAGCTTTTGGAACTTGCTTCCAAACTCTCACTGTCAGACACGCATTTACAAAGAGGAAAATGGCTTCTGTGAGCTGGACATGGTGCTTACATCTATAATACCAGCACCATGGGAGGCTGAGGCAGAAGTGTTGGAGTGTTAGGAGCTGTGGCAGCTGGAAAGTAATTAAATGTGCAGGCCAAAGCCAGCCCAAGAACATGGGAGCTCCTCGAAGCACATAAACAAGCTGCTGTAGCTTGTTAACTGATTGCTGGGCAGTGAGGCTGAAATCAATCAACCTCTCGAGGGTATAAATAAACGCTCTGCTGTTCTTGGGCAGTTCCCCTTCTCCGCTGAGAAGAGAGGGGACTCTCCACCTGACCCTAGCTTTTTGTCTCTTGTCTATCTTTTCCTCATTCTCACTGCCATTCCTTCCCGGGATACAGCAAGAACCCAAGGGATCCCGACACAGGAGGACTGTAAGTTCAAGCCCAGCCTATGCAGTTTAGCAAGATCTTCTTAAATCAATCAATCAATTAATCAATCAATCACTAGACACTAGAACCTCCCATTCCATTGTAACCCAGCGGGGCCAGACCCCTAGATCCTGGTGGTTCCCCAGCCACCCGGAGCCCTGTGCACAAGCTCCCTCGGGATGGGAGCTCCGCATCTGTTTCCCCGAGCAAGGGAGGGCCAAACTCAGTGCCTAAGGCAGGAATGCTGGGCTTCAGGCTGGGGCTGGAGGGGGCAAGCTGTTCCCAGGGAGCCCATGAAGGCAGCTGGAAGCCTGTGTCAAGCCACGACCAGCCTTTCTTTGGCATGGTAGGGGCAGGGGAGCCCCACGGAGGACAGTCTCTGGAAGCTGCAAGTTCCCTCTCTCCTAGGGATCCCCCACAGAGCTGAGTGAGCAGGACCCTGGGATAGTAACCGCCTGTGCTTACACAGCAGTGGGGACACTAACTGCCATTAGGGGCTCTGGCACCTCTGGCACCTCTGCCGCGCTGAACCTCCTAGCAACCCGCTCAAGCAGAAGTCCCAGCCCTCTGTTCTTTTTCATTACAGATGAAGCATCCCGAATCCAAAGATCTGAACTATGAAATATTCCTAAACCCAAAGCTAGCGCCCATATAATGCCACAAGTGGAAAATTACACCCTGACCTCACGTGACAGGGTGCAGTCAAAACATAGGTGTGCTAAAAATATTGTATGAAATTACCTTCAGGCTCTGTGTCTAAGGTGATTATGAAACATCAATGAATTTCGTGTTTAGACTTGAGTCACGATAGTTAATAGATAGCTCGTTACAAATATGCTAACATTGCACCCTCTGGTCCCAAACATTTCAAACGAGAGATATTCAACCTGGAATCAACTTTTCCACTTTAGAACAGCTTGGGATTTGCAAAAAGTTGCCAAGATGGTAGAGACTTCCCCAGTACCCTGCACTCAATGTCCCCTGTGACCAGCACCTGCTATTACCACGGAGCATTTGTCACAACCCATGAACCCGTGCTGACACATTACTAGTGACTGTAGTCCACCCACTCCCTAGAAACTAGATTTCCCTTGTTCCCCCCTAATGCCCTTTTGGATCCAGATCTCACCCAGGCCACAATGGTGCATGTATATCTCCTTTGGTTTCTCTGGTCTATTTTCCTTCTGTGATAGTTTCACAGACCTTCCTGGTATTTGATGGCCTTGACAGTTGTGTGGAGTACTGGTCTGGTGTCTTGTAGATGACCCTCCAATTTTGGTGTGACTGGTATTTTTCTCATGCTTAGGCTGGGGTTACGAGTTTGGAGGTGAGGACCACAGAGCTTAAGCATATTCTTGTCATGCCACCGCAAGAGTTCACGCTGTCACATGACTTATCCCTGCTGATGCTGACTGTGGCCACCTGGCTGTGACAGTGTTCATCGGGTTCCTTCACTATAAGGTTACTCTCCTCCCACTTCCCATACAGGATTCTTTAGAAAAAAGTCATTCTGTGTAGTGTGCACGAGTAGGGGTTAAGGGGCTGGAGATACAGCTCAGTGCCACAAGCGCCCGCCTGGCAACCGCAAGGTCCTGAGTTAGATTCCTGGTACAAACAAAAAAGGAATAAGGGTTAAAATCCGCCTCCTTCAGTGTGAGAGGCCTGCACAAACTCGCTAGAATTCCTCTGCCCAGGAAATTTGTCTCATCTCCCCGACTCATTTACTTATCATACGAACTCATAAATATTTGCTTCAAACTTTGAGCTATAATTCAATGATGAGTTAGTTTATTGTTTAAATGGTCCCAGTTTTGGCAAGTGGGAGCTCCCTCCACTGATTCCTATGTCCCTTTAATGTACTCCATAGTGTCTGGGCTTTTTTCTCTGGTTTTTGTTTGTCTGCCTGTTTGTTTGTAGCATTACCAGATGTTCCAGGCTTGTCCTGTATATGGCCAGCCTCATTCCTACAGTCAGCCTACAGCCTGCTACCTCTCCAAGGGCTCAGAGGAGAGTGGTCTATTGTCTCTATTTTCATAAAGGAAGAAGAGGCCCAAAGTGACCATGAAGTTGACCTAAGGACAGCAACCACAGCCAGAGGTCAGGCGCAGGCACCTGAGGGCCTGAGCTCCTCATGTGTCTTCCCTGAACATGGACTCTGAACGTGCCTCTGAATGTGGACAGAATGGGAGAGGCCTCACTTGAAGGCAGGGGAATGGCCACAATAACCTCTCCTATCCTTTTTCAGGTCCATGGAGATGACAGCAATGTAGAGACCAGGCCCTCTGCTCCACAGCTCTGACCCTCTGACCGCAGGACACAGTGACTCTGGAGCCCCAGGGTACCCGAGACGCTGCCTTTCATCTTCCTCAGATGCTCTTCTCTTCTCACGTTTACTGTTGCTGTGGCCAGGTGGCAGTTAGGCTGTGGCTGTCACTGCCTGTGTAAGCAGGAGCCTCCTCACGATCCCTGGTGGCTTCATCTCAGGCGATGACCCTCTGAAGAAGGAATCAGATTCTGGTTGCTGAAAACTTCCCCTGACACCTTCCAGAAGACCCAGCCGGCCCTGGCATCACACCTTGCAGAATGGTGTCCACAGCATGGATGAAAGTGGGAAGGTCCCAGTACAGCCATCACACACACTGCCCTGCTCCTGAAGGCACAGACAATGCTGTGCAGAGAACACACACTCTGATGACTCTGCTGAAAGTAACTAGAAGGAAGGGCAAGACTCAAATGTGGAATGGGTGTGGGAATCCCTGACTCCTCATGCTCTGTAGACCAACACAGGAAAAAAAATCCAAGCCCTCATGAGGCAAAAGAGCTTTTTTAAGAAAATACAAAAATACTAAGTGATAATAAAGCATTATATCAGAGTTTAACTGGTGCTGCTTTTCTTCTTAAATACAGTACATAAAATAATGGGGCACCTGACAATCAAACCATAGGTCTTAGATTTGATGTAATAGGTTGAGAAAATGTTCACACATGTGTGAATTTGGGTGTGCACACCCAAATTGACATGGTACACACAGGTACGCAGTTCAGTGCAAACACACGTATTCCTCATGTGGATAACTACATGTATGTGTGTGTGCATGTGTGTGGATACATGGGTGATATGCATGCATTGTGTGGTGTGCATATACAGTACATCAGTAATACACTGTTTCCTGTGGTCTGAGATCCCTACTCTCCGGGGCTTTCATGCTGATGCATGCAGTCACCAGGGATGGGCCTCACTTCCCCCCGAGTTGCCCCCCGGAATGGGGCCCCACTTCCCCCCAAGTTGAGATAGAAACCTTTCTAGTGTACTGCACATCCTCGTGTGCCACACTGGCAGGCCCTACCTCAACAGTCTTGGAGGCTGAGGCTGCTCTCAGGGCAGTGGAAAAAGGATGCTGAGTCGTCCAACTTGTCTTCTGTTACTACAGGTACCCTCATCCAAGTTCATGACCATGGACCTGTATTTCAAAAGGCTGGTGCGGGCTACCAGTGAGCAGTGTTGTGCTTCTAAAAGGTGTGGCCGTCTCTAGGGTTATCTGGAGCCTGCAGTATGGGTTGGGCCATTTCCCGGGGCTCTAGCGGCTCAGCCCACCTTAACACCTAAGCTGTTTGTGGAGAGCATGAGGACAGACCCACCCAGCCCAACAGAGTCCCTTTCACCAGTCCACAGAGCTCAGAATTTATCCCCCATGACCTATTTGCAAAATGCAGCAGCCTTTATGCTCTAGGCTGGCCTTCCTGTGGGTAAACAGAGGCAGGGTGGAGGCCTGGAAATGACCAAAATAACCACCTCCTGCTGGGGAATGAGCTCACCACTCTGAAGCGGACCTTGCTCACTGATGCGGGTGGAAGAAACAACTTGCAGAGGTAGAGGATGGGAGGGAAGGACAGATGTCAAGCTTTTGGAGTAGGGCCTGGCACGGAGCCTGTGCTCAGTCAATGGCATCTGTTAGTTTAGAACAGGGATGGCGAACCTTTTAGAGACCGAGTGCCAAATTGCAACCCAAAACCCACTTGTTTATGGCAAAGTGCCAACATTGCAATTAAACCTGAATATTGAGGTTTTAGTTTAGAAAAACAACTCTACATTAACATATTTTGTCTTTAAAAAAAACAAGCACAATAACACATATGCCACAGGTTCACTACCACTGGTTTAAAACGTCTACTTTCCACTTTGGGAGGCCATTAGCTCTTCCCAGAAATAGCATTTTAGGAGTCTCCCCTCCGGTATGTCAAGTAGGATGCTGTATAAGGAAGAGTGCTGTGGACCACCAAGTTCTCTTCATCCACAAGGGCTTCACGTTATTGTTATGTCTCTCATGCCAGGGGGGCAGCATTTGTCCTTTTTTTTTTTTTTTATGGTAAGCACTGCTCCCTGCCCAGTACTCTGAAAATGTAAATACCTGTGTGCAGAAACTAGAGCTAATCCCTCAGAGCAATGGTCCTCAAACTTCTGCTATGGACAATATGACATTGCTAATTCTTGGTGGTGTCTGTCCTGTGCCCTGTAGGATGTTGAGCAGCACCCCTGGCTTCTACCCACTACATGCCAGTAGCATCCCACCTCTTCCAGCTGTGATAACAAAAAATAATCTCTAGGTATTGCCAAAGTCACCAGATAGGAACTGCTGGCTTGAACTGGGGGATGCAGCCCACACAGAGCACCTGTGTAGCACACAATGGCCCTGAGCTTCACCCCCAGCACAACAAAAACAAACAAGCTACTGCCTTACAGTAAATGAGATTTTGCCATTAGCAAAAGTGGTGGAAGGTTTCGGGGGGCAGAGATGAGGAAAAGGACTAAAAAGAGAGGAAGGAGAAGGATTCGAATTCTTCTGGCATCGGGGAGGACAAGCTGCTTTGCAGATAACTCTACTTCCAAAAAGCAAAGGTGTGACAGAACATGCTCTCCATCAGCAGGAAAGGAGCTTTTGCATTGCTCCAAATCAGCCTTCATGATGGATGTTGAACACAGCATGAGCCAACCGAATGTCACCTTTGAGCTGAAGCCACCAAGGCCCTAGTCTGAGAGCCATCTGCACCCAAACCTCCTGGGTCGAGGAGGGGCACCAAGCTCTTCCAAACAGGCATCTGAGTGGTACACAATGGGAAAGGGTTCTGAGGCAGATCGCAGCTGGGAGGACTCTATGGCTGGCACTGTCTCCTCAGAAACCAGCCCCAGCACCTTTGTATTGTGAGCCAGGGGTGACAGGGTGGGGAGCGGAGGTGGGCAGGGGGCCTATCTCCCAGTCGGGTGGGCTGCCAAGAGGGGTCCCAGAGAAAACAGAGCCCAGAAGCTTGAGCCTACAGACTGACTGGGTGAAGAAGGACAAAAGGGCCTCTTTGTGTCTCTTCCCCCTCCCTCTGCTTCAGCCCCAAGCCCCAGGAGGATCCCTGCACTCCCACATCCAAGGGGCTCACATCCAAGATGACGTACATCAGCCTGGTGAGGAGAGGGCCCCTGCAGCACCGGGCAGGCACAGGCACAGCCCCAAGCCAAGAGCAAGAACATGTGCAGGAGAGAAGCTTTGGGAGCCCAGTTCCCCAGGGAGACCCTCGCAGGCAGACACTCTTAGAAAGCCACAGCATTTTTCCCACTGCCCAGATGGGCAGCCACGGTCTCACTTCCCTCTCTCCAGAGCTGCCTGTCATCAAGTTCTGCAACAGCAGCAGTGAAGAGAGGGGTATAAACTTTGGAATCAGACAGACCTGGGTTTAAAGTCAGGCTCTGCCACTCACAAGCTGTGTGGACTCAGCACATTGCTTAGCTCCCCTGGCACATAAAGCTGAACGGTGAGGATCCAGTGGGCCACCTGTATAGTGCCCAACTCCATGGCGGACATGAGGTAAGGGCTAGGATGATGAGATGGTGGCTGTAGATGGCTGCAGCAGCCCGCTCTCCAGGGCCTTTCCACTGGCTCACCCAGCCTCAGCTGGCCTCTGGGACATCCTCGCCTCTCCCAAGTCCACCCAGGGTTCCACATCAGGAACTGTTCCTCCTGCCTCTCCACAAAACAGCCTATGCTACTGTCCCACACACTCTTCACCAAGGAGAGCTAAACCGAGGTGCTCAGCAGGCCTCAGCCACCTATCCCACACAGCCACGGGCCTCGATGCTCCTGCCTGCATAGCCTGTGCCTGCTGTATCCCACTCAGCCTGTATTCCCTCCCTGGCCCAATCTCCCTCTCCACCAAGGCTAGCTCAACTCTGACTTCCTCAGAGAGTCTGCTCTCTGCTCCAGTCCTGCTCTAGTCTGCATGCATGGCTGCCTGCTAGGTCTACTAGCAGGTGAAGCGGGAATGAAGAGGGGTCCTTGTCCATTATCTGGAGCTGTGAATATTTATAGTGCATCCCCATGTTGGTGCAAAAGGTAAATGGAAGACAGGACAGCCCTAATTACTCTCACACAGCCATCCAATGAGTGCAGCACCTGCTTCTGCCCCTCCTCCCCACATGAGCACAATGGACCTACGCATCCTGAGAATCAGGTCTCCTGTCTGATCCAGCAGGCCAGCCCTGCCCCAAAAGCAGGATCAGGCAGGTCACAGGCAGGTGGGTGCTCCAAGAGGAGAGCAAAGAGACACCCCTTCCACTGGCTCCACAAAGGGCCCTAGGGAAATCCATGATCCACTTGTCCCAGTTGGATAAAAATTCCCACACAATGGACAGGATGAGCTTCTGGTCCCCTGGGCAAAGAGGCTGTCGGCTGCCCATCCGCTCACCTCCAGCACAGCAAGCTGGGCTGCCCGTCCTCTCTGCCCTAGAAGCCACAGCCCCATGTGGCCCATGTATCTGCACAACAAGAGATCTGCAAGGTGACAGCTCCTCAAGCCATAGCCCAAGTCAGCGTTGCAAGGCCCCTGTCCCCAGGAGCATGGCCTCATGGGAAGCTCTATCTCAACTGTACCCAGCCAGACTCCAGTTTCTGATTCACAGAGGAAGCCAGCAACAAGGAGATGGCCTAATTTCCAGCCTCAGGAAGCTCAGAGAAGACACCTGCTATCCTCCTCACCCACTTTTTGGCAGGGGAAAGACCCAGACCAACCAAACAGCAGTCTTCTGGGCAGGCCCTTGTGGCATGGTCTTCAGGGAAGCTGATGAGGTCCCCTGACCATGCTATGTCATGGGTTAGAAGTCAAGGGTCAAAAGTCAGAACAGGTACTTTGGTCAAGACAGCTGGAGTGGTCAAGAGAGCTGGAGTGGGTTATGGGCTTACCTCCTTTCAGCAGTAAAGTTCTGCAGACATAGGGAGGGGTTCTGAGAAAGACAGGCGGGGTTCACAGCAAGAACTTTGAGGGCTTAGGAAAAATTTTCTACTTCCTCTCTGTGCTGTCCAGGCAGTCTCACAGCTCCAGATCTGAGGGATTTACCAGGCCCTTCTGATCTCATCACATTTTAATCTGGAAAAGTTCCAAAAGTACCCTTTGGCCTGTGGAAAGAAACTACTTCCTTTTATGACCCATCAAGACCTCTTCCTGTTTCCAAAGGAAGCTCCAAAACTCTGAAAGGCAAGCAAAGTCCTGTCCACCCCACTGCCTGCCCAACGGAGCTGCCTTCAGGCATGTTTCATCTTTTGCCACAGGTCCAGAGGGCAGACCTCCTTCTCTTGAGCTGACTCCCTGAAAGCACCCCATCGGGGCTAAGACCCAACAGCCAGGGGGTCTATGGGGCTTTGCCAAGAGCACACGGTGGCCCAGAACTCAGGGATGTGGGGGTCCCACCCCAAGCAGCAACCTCAGGGGACAGCACAGCAGGAGGCACATGCATCCCAGGGTCATTCTGGGGAGCCAGGGGATCACTCTTGGACAAGGGGACCCACCTGGAACCTCAGAGTTGGTACAGAGATTGTATTAAGCTGAAGACACTTGAAATTCAACAGATACAAAAAAACCTTCTCAGAGACTCCCTTACCAACAGCAGCAACTTTTAGGAAATAAGGCCACAGGAATCCCCTCAGGGGAGTTTCCTGCCATAAAGCTCCAAGAGCCTCGGACCTTACATAATCAAACATCACCACAAACTCACTCTGTTTGTTCTCAAAGCCCATCGGCCTGGCCTAAAGAAACCTATCTGTCCTCTTAGGAGCTCCTCTCCCCTTCTCTCCTTCCTCAGTGAAGAATTAAGCCCCCCAGTTTCAACCACCACTCTGAGTTACTCCTGGAGCGCTCTCATTACGGGACGATCTGGTAAACAAACTCTCTTGCCAGTCTGTCTTTCATCCATTTACTTCACAAGCTCTCCAGGATTGAACATAAGAAGGCAAACACTGTTTTTCCTCCCTGACACCTGGGTCAGCAGCCAGGGACAGCTCTGTCCAGCACAAGGCCACCGTGAGAGGGTGAGCTCAGAATAGACAGGGCAGCTCCCCAAGCCCAGCCCCGTGGCTGACTACACAGGAGACCAGCAAGGGTCAGCCAGTCCTCCACACCCCAGTTTCTACTTGAGGACATGGAGGACACTCAGGCCCCTCCTAAAGTTACTGGGAAACCTAAGTAAATGGGGTGAAGTCGATCAAGTCTGGCTCCTCGGTGAAAATGGCTCTAATGATACTACAGGGACGCCATGTGCAACTGCCTATGGGCGCCCTGCTCTCCTTTTCCTATATCCATGGGTGCCAGGCATCTGCTTCTCTCAGATGCCATTCACTGCCACATTTCCCAACCACCCAGCAGGGCTCAGATACTGTGCTGGGTTTCATCAGGGTTGCACAGTGGATCGGACAAAGTCCCTCCCCTTGAAACACTCATGTCAGACACTCAAGCAAAGTGTAACCTATACACAAATACAAATCATATTATGTACAATAATAAGACAACGTTACCAGAGAACTCACTGTGTTGGGCATGTGCTAAATACTGTACATATTGTTAGCCATCACAATGAACTCAAAATGGTTTTTTTGTGTGTGAAAAAGTGGGGGTGCTGAAGTGTTAAACATTGTAGCAGACACAAATGGGGGTGTCTGGCCAAGTCTGTCTGATCCTCTCCACCTTTGGAAAACCAACCGGCTCTTCTCTTCCATATGGTGATTGGTCCAAAGGGTGATCATGTGACCCAGGTTAGGCCAATCAGAGTTCTCTTTGAGAATTTTTGCCTGGGAACTGTAGGGAAAACCTAGTGTGCCTCTGGCCATGGAACTAGGCTGATAGGAGTTGACCTTGTGTTTCTAGTGGCAGAATCTGTCTTGTAGAGAAGTCTGTCAGAAAGAATTCGGAAGTCACAGAGAAAAAAGGAGCCCTAAAAGCAGAACCCATGCAAGCCTCTAGTTCCACTCTTATAATCAGCTCTAACTGCTCCCTATTGCAGTTTGACCCAGAAGCCAACAAATTACCTTAATGTAGATACAGCTGGGTTTTCATCAGTTGCAACTTACAGCACCCTAACCAAAGGTCCCCCTGCCCAAGTCATATGACTAATAAGGGGCTGCATCCAGGAAGCCGCTTGCATAAGGTACAGCCAGATTATGGACCCCAGGCAGCAGCAGCAGCAGCAGCAGAAGCAGCCCTTTCTTTTATGTTCTACAGATGTTTCCAGGAGGGTGGGTGACCATGAGCTGATAATTCTCAACTGCTCAGTTCCCAGAAAGAAAGGCATGGCCACTCATGACCACTCCATTAAAGTCACATCATTTTCATCAATAAATTCCCGAGTGCTTCTGCAATCTGCAACATGAGGGACCATGCTATGCCCCATGTGCCTAATCCAACCACCCCAAAACCCTTCGTGGTAAGTACGGCTGATGCTATCTTAAAAGTGCAGATGGATACCGGATGCGTACCCAGTATGCCCACCTGTAATCCCAGCATTTGAGAGGATGAGGCAAGAGGATTACTGTGAGTTTGAGGCCAGCCTGGCCTACATTTTTTGTCTGGTTTTTTTTTTGTGGGTATTTTTTTTGTCTCAAAAAACCAAAATAGGTAGGTAGATAGGTAGATAAGAATAAAAATAAAAGTTGAGATGGAGGGGCTGAGGGTGTGGCACAGTGATCCAGCAGGTGGTTATGCATGAGGCCCTGGTTCAATCCACAGCACCTAAAAGCAGTTTTTAAACAAAACTTTTTATTAAATAAAGAAAAGTGTAGAAGGGGACCCTCAAGAGGATTAGCAACACTAGTCCCAAAGCAACTAAGCCAGGGGCGGGCCGCGTCAGAGCTACACTCTCAGCTGATTCTCTGGTATCCCCCTTAGTGCAGTATCAGTTCCAGGCTCGTTACAGCCTCTGAACACCGCCCACACTAGAGGTTGATTCTGTCGCAGACCAGGCCCACGTGGAGTGACCTTTCAGCCTGTGTGAGAAAATGGCCAGCCACCTTCTTCACTCTCTTCAAACAGGCCCGAGGATCCTAAGCTTAAAGTAAGTGAGTCTTGCCAGGGATGTAGTTTAGCGGCACAGTGCCTGCCTGGCTAGTGGGAAGTCTTGAGTTCAATTCATGGAAACAAAAATAAGTCAGTGAGCCTCGACTTTATGGCCCCTAGAAGCCCATGTGGAGGGCGATTTCTCCATTTTTCTTTCCTGTCTCCCTGGTCTCTGCCCCTTTAGCTCAAAGGTGCCAGCTATGGCCTGTAAGTGTGCTTTGCTTAGCATTCTCGGCAGTTTTTAAATTTTAACATTTAAAAGTTGCAATTTTCACTTAGATATCTGCATTTAAATTTTCATAATAATTTTTTAAACCCTCTCTTACAAAGGTACATTTCTGATTTTTCTTGAAAAAAAATGACAAGAACCCTGCATCTCTGCTGGATACCCAAAGTGGTTGCCACTCACGTTAGCCAGGATGTAGGCCTCACCACAGTCCCAGAATGCACCCTGTCCCTCATTTCCCTTGCCTACCTGGTCCCTGTGAACACCCAAGGCCCACACCAGGATTCCAGAATTCCTTTAGAGATGGTTAGCTCCCTGCTGTCTCCCAGCCCGAACTGGGCATTTTCTGCAGGGATGAATTTCGGGGACACTCCTTCAACACCAAGGCAAGTGAGGCTCCAGACTGTGCTTGAGTCAGGCTCCGGTGTGTACAAACCCAGTGTCCAAGCCACTCTCCTCAGCCTCCCGCTGATGGCCGGGGTTGGTGCGGGGAAGCACAGCCTGGGGTAGCTATCAGGCCAGCTTGAGCCTACTGTACTTTGGCACACTGCTGCTAAGGCTGTGCCTATGCTCAGGAACAAGCAGTGACTCCCCACATGGCCGTTCGGGAAGCACCAGCCCAGCAATCAGCACTAGTGGCCCACCCGGCTCCGCCCCGGGGCACAGGACACTCACGATGTTCATGAGGGTTAGCACGTAGTTCTGCACATGCTCCTTGCCATGGAAGCGAACCACTGAGTCATCCACCGCCAGCAGCACCTCGATGCTGTAGCTGCCCGGTTTGGCATGGCGCCGCTTCCGCTCTGTGTCACCCAGCTGGTCCCCCACCAGGCCCAGCAGGTTGGGAAGGTCGCCCAGGCTGAAGGCTGGAACAGGACGGGTAGAGAATGAGGTTGTGATACTTGCAGCACTGGTTTCTAATCACACTCATTTATCCACAGTTATTGGAGGCCCCCAGGTAGTGGGTCAGGGGCTGGGGACACAAAGATGCTGCTACTACACCCCCCGCATGCCTCAGGAGCTGGCTGCAGGAGGCCCTGTGCTTGGTGGGTGGATGGTATGCGGTGATAAAGGGGCCCCACTCTCACGTCCACTGGCCAGTGGAGGTGACAGGTAGGAAATCAGATGGTAGCAATGTTTATAAGTTGAGGGTCCCTTATCTGAAATGCTTGGGACCAGAGTTTTCCAGATTTGAGGATATTTGCACAGACTTTGCCAGTTCGGTATCTCTAATCCAAAAGTCTGAAATGAGAAATGTTCCAAAATATGAAACATTTTGAGTGCAGTGGCTTCTGACTGCCCTGGTGTCTAAGGGTGAATTCAACAGCGCAGACAAACTGTGGGGAAAAGCGAGAGGGGCCCAAGGCGGGTGGAGAAGGGGCAAGGGCACCCTCCACAGACTGGGGTGAATAAACGACACTTACCCCAACACGTGAGCAGTGCCTGGAAGTTAAATGTGCCAAGCAGAATGCTAACCTTGACCCCTCGGAGCCTTCCCTACCAGGTTTGCCAAACAAGGCTCAGAGAGCTTCAGTGACTCACCCAAGGTCACACAGCAAGTGAATGATAAGAGCCCAGACTATAAACCCAAGTGTGCCCCTCCTCTGTCACACCACGTCAAAGCCCGCCCTGATTTCCCTCTCAGCAGACAGGTGGGGAACAGAGGATGAATGGAGCTCACATCACCCACAGGTCCTGGGAATGTCCCAGCCACACTGGCTTCTATGTGTCTTTCAGGCCGGAAGCAGATAACCCCCCAGACCAGACACGGCTTGGGGGCGGAAGCAGCGCTGGGAGGCTTAGAAGAGCCCACCCAAGAAGCCCCACAGGAACGTGAAATGGTGCAGCTGCCTTGAAAAACAGTTGGCAGCCCCCCAAGAACTTAAACCTAGAGTTGCCATGTGACCCATGAAGTCCACTCCTAGGTACACACCCAAGAGGCCCAAAAGCCTACGCCCACATAAAAACGTGGACGCAGATGTTCAGTTCAGAGCATTATCTTAATAGGCAGAATGGGAAACCCCAAATGTGCATGGACAGGTGGATAAGCACATAAAAGGCCATACATTCAAACCATGGAATATTACTCTGCCATAAAAGGAGTGACTCTGTAACACAGATGAACCTTGAAAATATACTGAATGAAAGGCCACATAATATACATTTATAGGAAACGTCCTAACTAGGAAATCCTGAGACAGAAAACTGATAAATAGTAACCAGGGAACTGGGGAGGGGGAGACAGAAGCGACAACCAACGGATATGGAGATTTTCGTGGGAATAATGGAAATGTTGTTTTGTTTTATTGCAAGACAGGGTCTTGTTAATTCCCAGGCTGGCCTCAAACTTGTGACCCTGCCTCAGCCTCCTAAATGCTGGGATTGCGGGTGTGTGCCCCTGCCCTCAGCAGGTAACGGAAATGTTTTGCGATTCGACTGGGTGGTGAAGAAAATAGCAAAAAACCACCGCGTTGTGTACTTAAGCATGGTTAAAATGGTCAATTTTTATATCAACTTTTTCAGAAAGCAACAGCAGCCCTGGCCACAGACGCACACATCCTGACCACATCCAGCTGCGGCCTCAGGAGGGACAGGAAGGAGAAAGGCGACTGAGAGCAGCCTGGGTGGAAGAAAAAGAGGGCAGCGTTAGAGGCGGCACGTCCAGAGAGCAGCAGAAAGAGGCCAGGGCGGCCCACAGGGGAGCCACTGAGCACCTGGGAGGCCTCGCCGCAGGGTTGTACCTCGAAACTCTGGGTGGTTTCACTGCTCACCACGCCCTTGAGGACAGAATTGCTTACGTCCTCTGTGTGTCCCCTCAGAGACGTGTGCATGTGTGAGTGTATATGTACAGCCTGGGTCTGTTGTGTGTGTGCACTTGTGAGTGCATGGAGTATGTGAGAATGTGATGTGTGCATGTGTGGGCAGGCGTGTTAGTGTGCAAGAGTATGGTACTGTGTGCAGATGCACGTGAGTAAGGGGGTGTGAGCAGGTGTGGATGCACGGGTACGTTTGTGCATGTGGAGGTAGGGGGTATGGTGTGTGTACCGGTGAGGCAGGAGGGTGCATGAGTACGTGCGACACACATGCCCTCTTCAGGAAGCAGCAGTCAAGGCCACACCTGAGTGTGGCCAGAGAGAGACAGTCTGCTGCACCCCAAGTTCATGATGTACATTGGACCCCCTTGCTTTGGAGCCAGGGGCCAGACAGCCCCTCTACTGCCACATCTAGTGGAGCCTGATGCATCCCCCCCTCTCTCTGGAAGCCAGACACCCACAAGAACAGGAGCCATGGCAGTGACACAAAGATAATGCGCCTTGCAGTCTGACTTCCAGGGCCTCACAGTTTGTCGGGGAGGAGGGTACAGTCAGGAGCACTCCAGGGTCCTAGGGACCACAGGAGGAGGCACCTGCATGAGATGGGACAGGCAGAGGTAGGGCGCCCTGGCAGGAGAGCCCTCAAAGGCCATGGCTCCAGGTGGGCTCAACAGACATCTCTCATACGAGAAGCACAGCAGAGCTGGACGGAGACTTCTTGCCTCCCTTAGCTCATCACACCGACATTAGCCCTGGGACACTTCTCCAAACCAGGGCTCATGCCCACTGCCCCCTCCTCTCAGAGCCATGGGTATCCAGAAAAAGTCCAATTATCACCAGTTGTTTCACCAAGAGACCACAGATGTGTAGGCTTGACTCCACAGCCTGGCCCTGGCAGTTTCAGGCCACAGCCTTAGGCCAGAAGAGGAACATCCATGTCTCCCTGAGCCTGAACCCCAGCTCTGCCAGCCCACTGCGCCCAGCTGCCACAGTGTGGCCCAGGCTTGTGGTCCTAGAGCTAGACCTCCCCACAGCCTCTCCTCAGAAGGGGGATCTGTGGTCTTTTGGTTCAGAACTGGCCTCAAATAAAACAGCCTAAGGGAGACATCACTCTGCCCAGCCACGGCGCGGGATCTGTGGGCCCCACCAGCTGGCTCCTAAGCTGACACGAGGGACTCCTCAGAGCATTGGCCCAGCCCCTCGCTGCCCAGCCCCAGGCCTGCAGCACCCTCTGCGCTGTCTTGTGAGTGACACTAGGAAGCAGCTGGAGCTTCAGAGCAGTCATTGTCTTTGGAGACAACTGGTTTCCAGGCATTCCTTCACGAGACACCTAAGCCCACATGGCCCTGGCACAAGGGTGTGGCCTGCTCACCACCAGATTCCACTAGGCCTGCGTCATGGCCTCTGAGCCAGAGGGGCTTCGTGACAAAGCTAAGTTTGACTATAAAGTTGGCTATCAGCCCAGGACCAGCACCCACCACACACACAGCCTTTCACTGGCTCAAGCGTGGGTCCTGGGCATCGCTGGTCTGCAGACTCCCACGCTGGTCATCTGGGCACAGGCACATCCCACCTTCCACCCTAACATACGAGTTAGGCTCCCACCCTGACATACCAGTGGGTACCCTGTAAGCATTATGCCAGCCACCCCGTGCGTTCTTACCTTGGCAGGGAGACCCCACTCATCCCACTTCACTGATTAGGAAAATGAGGCTCAGAGATGTTAAGGAACCTGCCTGGGCCACGGGGTGGCCAGGTCAGAGGCAGGAATGAAGATGGTCTGCTGGACACACAGCCCACCCTGCTGCCCTGACGCCCAAATTTCTACCCTTATTCCTGAGCCTACAGCACAGAGTTGGCGTGCAGGGAAAGAACTAACTGCACCCATTCCGCCTCTGCCTTGGCTCAGAAACAGCCTTGAGAAGCAACACTGGGCCCCTCAGAGACACCTGGAGTCCCAAGAAGCACAGTGCAGGGCACAGGTGGCCCCTTCCAGCCAGGTATGGCAGGCCCCGACATCACTACTGGTACAGAAGCTCTTGTGGCCCAGTCCCCTTGTACAGATGAAAAGACTAAGGTCAGGCACTGAGCACTTAAGGCCAGAAGTCACTCTGAGGGTGTGGACGAAGGCCTCTACCCACCCCCGCACCCCCCTCACCCCCGCCTACCTTCATTGTGAAGGTCGTGGTGAGGCTCTCCACTGTCCTGCTGCACGGCTTCCCGGCGGTACACCACGTGGGTCCTCCCACCAGCCTCCTTCTCCTGCTGGCCTCGCTCCAGAGGCTCAATGAAGTAGTCGGTGCTATCCGTGCGGATGAGGCCGGCCTGCAGGAGGGGAGACAGGAGAGGTGTGAATGCAGGGTGGCATCTGTGACTGCAAACGTGTGTGACCATGCATGTGTGTCTGTTCTTCCTCCAGGGCCTGGGCTTTCACACTCAGAACCCTGGGATGCTGGGAAGTGGGGGGAGGCAGGGAAGTGGGGGAGGGGTAGAGCCGCTCAGCACCAGGCCTCCCCTGATCAAGTGAAGCACGGCCACATCTTCTGTGCCTTGTACCCGTGGAGTGCCATATAAAATTTCATTTGAACAAAGAGTTCCATTGCTGTAAATGGAGGGGAGGCACAAAAGCCATGGCCACAAGGGATGTGAACACACCCAGGCTCCGCATCCCGACCCAACACATCAGGTGGACTCCACGCTGCCCACCAGGAGACAGGAGGGGGAAATAAATCCGAGTGGCAAAGGTTAAACACCCCTGCATGGGCGCTGCCCCCCACTCTAATACAAAGTGTTATTGTTTGAGATGTAAAGCGCATGAATGCATGTCCCCAGGGACAGCTAATGCTACCGACAAGAAAGGAGCCAGGAACTCGTGCTCTGTTCCCAATCTAATTCTCTGCCTACACCAAAATACTCCCTTTAAAAAAATCAGGTGTTGGCCTTGGAAATGAAAATACAACCTTGGCCAAGCCCAGTAAATGTGTTATTAACCACCAGTGAAGGCAATAATCAAAGGGGCCAATAAAACATAAACAGATGTGTGCTGACACATGTGCCTGCGTAGATGCATGCGCCCACACGCACGTCATCTCTGCAAAGTGGCAAGGCCACCCCACCTATCATAGCATGTGGAAAATCATAGGCAATATTTAATAAATAAAATATTTGTTGAATTTGTTCACTTATTCAACAAATACCTATTGAGTGCCTACAGCATACCAGGCCCTGGGAGTACAGCTGTGAACACAAATCAGGGAATGAAAAAGCATTTTTACAATTTGACTGGGCTTTCTCCGTTTCCATTTTAAACCTCCCTACCTTTTCCAGGCAAGTTCTTACTGTGTAAGCCTTGAACTTGCTATGTAGCCCAAGCTGGCCTCGAACTTCGCAACTGAACCCTCCTGCCTCAGCCACCTAGACGCTAGGGTCACAGGCACATGCCACCACACCCAGCTGAGCTCTCATTTTAAAGCAGCCACTTCATGCAATTCAATTCTACCCATTTCCCCAGCTCAGCCTGTTCTGAGGAGGCACCTTGGGGAAACTTGTTTGAGACCACCGAACACCTACTCCAGCAACACCAGCCTTTCTACGTCCCTTCACATTTGTGGGTGAAACAGAAAATACCATTTTATATCGAAACCAAAATGGGCACCCTCTGTACCCCTGCACAGACCCAATGAGGAGGCCACAAAATGTCCTGCGGAAAATGACAGTGTTATTGGAATGAGTCTGTGGCTTCCTGAGAAACCATTTTGCCAGTCCGTGGTCTGCAAAAGTCCATGGTGGAGTTGTTAAAAAGCCAGCATCAAACTTTATACAGAGCACAGAGTCATTCATTCCATCAGCTCTGACTTTACACCTGCTACGTGCCCTCCATAGGGAAAAACAGAACAGCAAGACTCAGCCTGTGGCTGTGAGTCACTCATATCTAGAGGAGTTAAGGATGACTAGATGCAGGACGTGACCTGGAGTCTCAGGGGCTGTCATCAAGAAAAGACGTGCGTCAGATTCTTGGTCACAAGGAAATTCAACCCAAGCCCCCCAGCCCAAAGGGCAGTATGCTGGCCCCATGACAAATCTCAGCAGGGACAGGTACAGAAGAAAGGGACCCAAGTGTCCTCAGTTGCCCCTGCAGTCAGCTTCATCCTGCCTGACCAGATGCATGTTCCCATGCCTGCAGGCACATTTCCACTCTGCCCCCAGAGGCAATAAGGGGACCTTTCCTCCATAGTCCCACACACTAAGGGAGAGCTGGGGTGAGTCCAGGCTGAGTCACACAGTCACCCTGGGATTGGCAGCTGCTACTAGACCCTCACAGTCAGAGGAAGGGCACGGCTGCACAGGAAGAAGGGAGAACTTGGTAGGGTGGGAAGGGCAGGCCAGGTAGAGGGGCCCGTTGGGCAAGGGTGTGGAGGCCGGAAGGAGAGTGTGGGAGAGGCAGCGGCTGAATGTGGACAAGAAATGATGGTCAGATTTCTTGGCAGAGCCTCCCAAAGGGAAGCCTGCCACTCAGGATGCAGCACAGAAGGTCCCCAAAGCTACTGCAGCTCTGTGGCTGGGAGCTCTTGTGAGGAGACCCTCAGGCAAGCCCCTATCCATTCCACCCTCCTTCCTGTACCCGTCTGCTAGCCAGAAGGCCATCCTAGGACAAGCAAAGCAAGAGACCTTCTAGGCCTGCTCCGTCCAGCACAGCTCAGACAGGCTGGCCCAGGGTCACAGCCTGGGCAGTCTGGGCCCCTCACACCTCTCACAGCAGCCTGCAGAGGGGGATTCTCCAGACAGGAGGCAGAAGATTCTGCCAGCCTCTCCCACACAGAAGCCCCCAGCCCTGGTCCTCCCCTATTCCGGGACTTAGTTAACCAGCCACACAGTAGGACCCTTCAAGCCAAGCATTTCCTGCTTCATGGCTGACGGACCCATGTGGCCTCTCAGAAGGAAGTGGGCTCCAGAATGATGTGGATGGCGCAGGGCTGGGCTGTACTGCCTTCCAGCCCAGTCATGGACCACAGATCTCTCAAGAGCATCATGCATGTCCTAGTCTGAGGCTTCCTATCTTGATAACAAATCTAGCGAGGGCACCTCTAACTTTTGCTTGGATGCCTCTAGAGAGAACAGAGAACTCCTTCCTTCACCCTCACAAAGCAACATATTCTATGTAGAGCACTCCTAAAATTTACTGAGCAGACATGTATATCGCATCATTCCACACCTTGTAGACGATCTTACAATCCCTGTTATTATTAATAATGGTAGGTGCTACTTACATTGACATATATTACCTGACAGTATTTCACCTTCATATCCCTAGGACATAGGCACTAATACGAGATCCATTTCATGGATGAGGAAACATAAGGTCAGAAAGGTTAAGTTGACGGAAGTCACCCAGAGAGGGTCAGCACCAGAAATGGAGCCCAGTGCTGTGTGGCTCTAAACCACCCTATCAGCTTGGGTCACCAATGGGCCTGTTTTTGTCCTTGGGGCCACTGGGAGCAAAGAAACACTCCTTTCTCAGTCCCATCTGCAACTCCCTGAGCCTCTGTCCAGTCTGATCTGCACAGCAGGGGCACTCACACCCCACCTCTGCATGTGAAGACCCGGGAGACAGGCAGCACATGGCCATAAAGGAAGCATCCTTCCCCCTGCCCAGCTGACCTCCCAGCCCAAGCCCTAAAGCATTCTTGGTCCGTATAAACCCTCTTGATCACACCTTTAGCCCCACCAAAGGGAAACGACAGGCTCCTAGGTCTGCTCAGCCTCTCTGCCTCCCAGCCTCACCCTCACCCTGAGAGAATCTACCTCTTCCCTTCCCAGCCCTGTTAACTGTTTAGCATAAAAGAACTAGCTAGACTCAGTTAGTTCAGCTAGACTCAGCAACATGGAAAAGAAGTCTCCAACTTTCTTTGTACCTGCCCCTACACATACTCCCAGGGACCAAGGGCAGAACCTCCAAAAAGACTGGCTTTACCCCATATCATGCATTATGTCTGGGCCCCCCCGAGAGACAATGGCAAGGCAAGCTGGGCCCTCACACCTGGCTCCAGGTATTACTAAGCTCATTTGATCTCCAGAGTGTGACCTACCTGGGCAACATGGGCCCAGTCCCTTCCTGGGGACCTCAGGATCCTCCTTTGCACAGTGAGAGGTTTGGCCCAAGTTCTCTGAATCTCTGCCCTGGCCAGGAAACCAGGCACCATGCGGGGCAGACAGACTGGCAAGGAGAACCTTCTGGCTCCCTGCCTCCTCACTAAATTATTCCCATCTCTCAATTTATGAGATGTTTATATTTCTGAAAAGTGGTGGCTAATTTTAAAGCTCTAAAATCAAATCACATTTCTGGATAAGACATCAAGAAAAAAGCGGAAAATAAATTCTGGTAAGCTGGAAAATAAATGTCAGCCCTATCTTTTTCCACCCATTCCTTATGCATTCACAAACAGTACATAAGTGGGAAATATATACTAGAAACGTTCTTCAAGCAATAAAAATAAAACAGAATCACTGATTATGTCTAACAGAGCCACACACCACATGGGCCCTTGGCCAATCCCGTCACATAGAAACTCTCCAGTGGGCAGGCCCAGCCACCCCAGCCTTGCTCTAAACTCCCTTTCATGTGGCTGCTCAGACGTGCCCTTGCTGGGAGGTGTGGGGCTGACTGGGGTGTCAGGGGAAAACTGTTTGAATTTTCCAGTGTGGCTGGTGACACTGTTTGGATGGCAAAGACAACTTCTGCCTCTTCATCCAAAGCCCTGCAGGCCATGCTCTCCGAAGTTTTCCAATCTAGGTTCCCCTGGCAGAAAGCCCTCCAATTTCACGATGTAATTCCAGGGTGCCTGAAGAAGACATGGTCATATAGCACCTGGAGAAGTGCATGCCAGCTTAGAAGTCACTTTGTGTGTGTGTGTGTGTGTGTGTGTGTGTGTGTGTGTGTGTGGTTTTTGTTTTTTTTTGTTTGTTTGGTTGGGTTTTTTTGTCTTTTTGAGATAGGGTCTTGCTATGCAGTTCAGGCTGGCCTTGAGCTCACTATGTAGCCCAGGCTGATCTCAAACTCGAAACGATCCTCCTGCCTCAGCCTCCCGAGGGCTGTGATTACAGGTGTGTGCCACCACACCTGGCTCACTTTGTGACCTGCCATGCACCTAACTGAGCAAGTTTAGTTGATCATCAGTAGCTGCCTATTATCTGAGTGAGGTTCCAAATATTTAGTAGGTGATTGAAGCTAAATTATTTTGAAAATTGTATGCGTGTATATATGTGCTTATTCTCAACTTGCATGTGTGTGCATGTAAGTGAGGATGCAAGGGTACACAGAATCAGCA